GAAGTACAGTAATAAATAACATAGAGCCTCAAGTAGACCCAACTGCTGGTTTTGAGGAAATCCATTGTGATTGCTCAATGTATCTTTACAAAGTTAAATCCCAAGAAGTTCAGGAAGCACTTGACAAACTAAATAAAAAATCAGCACCTGGTTATGACAATATAAATACGAAAGATCTACTGCTACTCAAAGAGTACATTATACCAATACTGGTTAATCTTATAAATGAATCATTTAAGCAAGGTATATTTCCTGATATCCTCAAAATCAGCAAAGTCACACCTATCCACAAAACTGGTCCAAAAAACATTATGGATAATTACAGGCCAATTTCAGTAATCCCCACACTATCTAAGGTTATCGAGATTATATTGAAAAAACGTATTATCAATTTCATGACGGTGCATGTCAATTTTGATGAATACCAATATGGGTTCCAAGAAAATAGCAATACTTTGAGTGCAACTATGGATTTCGTTAACTATGTTGCTTCCTCGCTGGATGAAAAATACTTCGTTCTTGCAGTATTTGTTGACTTGCGAAAAGCGTTTGACGTAGTAGATTTTGATATATTACTTAGTAAGATTGAAAAAATGGGAATAAGGGGAAATGCTCTCTCGTTGATCAAAACATATCTGATAAATCGAAACCAATTTACAATAGTTAATGAACAATCTAGTGAAACCGAAAACACAACAGCAGGTGTGCCTCAAGGGTCTGTCCTTGGGCCTCTATTATATACACTACATGTACTATCCTTAAAAAATGCTAAGCTTAACTGTAGATATTTCAAATTTGCAGACGACACCGTTCTTGTATATAAAGATAAGGAGATTGAACTACTAAAAACAATGATAAGCACAGATCTCGCACGCTATTATGAGTGGCTTAAAAATAATAAACTTCAACTCAACACTAAAAAGACAACATATATAATTTTCACACAGAAAAACAAAAATGTACAAAATCTCACAGTGGAGATAGGAGGAGAAGAAATATCTCGAGTTCATGATGTTAAATATCTAGGATTAGTAGTTGATGAAAACCTAAATTGGTGTAATCATATTAACCACATAGAAAAAAAAGTAGTACCTATGATAGGTGCCCTATATCGCTGCAGAGACTACCTAAGCCCATCTTCATTACGCCAAATCTACAGTGCATATTTCTTATCAATATTTACATATTTAATTCCAATATGGGGTACATGTGGAATAACACTTTTCAATAGAATTAAAGTTCTTCAAAATAAAGTTATCAAAATCTTATTCAGGTTAAATTATAGAACATCAACAGATGCAATATATAAAGAAACTCAAATCCTACCAATTCAAGACAACTTGAAAATTGAGCAAGGGAAATTTGCATATAAGGTTATAAGAAATGAACTTAAATGTAATACCAACTTTACTTTTGTTAATCAGCTACATGATCACAATACCCGAACACAAAATAATATCTTCTTAGAACCTGTGCGTACCAATATGGGCCTAAACAACCCCATCAGTCAGTGCATGAAGACTTACAATACTCTTCCCAAAGAAATAACAGATAGCCCAAATGTTAGTATTTTTAAGAATCAGATAAAAAATTTCTATACTCATAAACTGAATGAGAGACCCACATAATTTTAAGTTGAGCAATGTAGGTTGTAGGTATATTGTAAACATTAGGGAGAGTTGTGATTAGATAGGTAGGTACATACTGTTTCCGCATCCTATGATATTATAGTTGATATACATATATAATCAATTTCGAATTGTAATTGTATATGTTGCAATTGTTTTTTTAGTAAGTTTTCCGAGACCAGCATTAGATGCTGCTTTGGATAAACCTTTGTCAGATACTGCATTAATATTTAACATTCATTTAACATATCTGTATATCTATATATTATATTTTTTTTTGTAGCACTATCTGAATAAAGTTCTTGAAAAAAAAAGGTGGCTTTTTGAAAATAAAATGCATTAATAAGTGGGGTATGAAATCATGCGAGTATTGTAAAGATCACATTATAAATCTGTAAGGCACTATTGAAGAGAAGTTTTCTACTGAAATAGGACATATTTGTTGCATTTTCCAATCGATAGCATGGTTTTTAAAAAGCCGCCATTTTGTATAATAACTGGCACAATGTTCAACAGCTTCATGAAATTGTGGTGTTTTGGTGGAGTATGGTTCCATATGGGTTTTGTTTTGAGGTTTATATGACTAGTATATACTTGGGTCAACTGATGAATCTATGGTAGTATAATAATACTGGTGATTTGAATAAGCACACTACAAACGAGCGAAAATCTTTTACCCAACACCTAACTCCCTGGCTGACATTCCCTTTTTTCTTTTTTCCTCTCGCAGGTGTCTGGCCTTTTCTGAAAATATGTTTAGAATGGTCTCCAGCAGTCAAGAACAAAACGTGTTAATAGTGCATAACAAATAAAGTGTACTTGGGCGTAGTGGTCTACATTCGTTGCAGTAGTTATTAAATTTTTGGTGAGTAGGTACCTACCATATTGATTTTATTTTTGATTAAAATGTCTGGGGTGTATATGCCAAAAGATAACAATATTCTATTGGCAACGACAGACGAGCTATGGTGAATGTATAAAAACCTTCTTCAGTCTTGTATCATGATCCAATAAACAGAAAACAATCGAAAATCTTGAAATAAATCCCCATATTATCCACACCCATTGCCGTTAATAATATCTTCATATCTACGCCACTGGTTGTGGAAAAATGCTTTTTTTTTTTTGGAAGACACATCAGTGTTTAAATAGTCCACTTTCTTGCATACATGGCACTGACGAACCATATTATTCAGCATATTATTAAGCAATTCATGAAAAAGTACGAAAAATACAGCCAAAACACTTCAAAACGCCATACCACCTCATTGCAACACGGCGACACAAAGGCTACGAGATGGCTGTGATTGGCTATGCTGCTGAATTCCGCATGCGGCGTTGTCGCGCTTTCAACTCCGAATCTATGTGATCTGACGGAATGGAATAGTTCAATGGTAATTAATTCGGAAATTGGATTATATTATTCAGAGTATTATACTGTATGAAATATTGTACAGTCGAAGCATCATCAGCACCGTATTGCTCCAGATATATTGTTCTAGATATTGTATGCATGATGATAATTATGACGAATCTCCTTCCTTGAACGAATATCTGGCAACCGCACAATCTAGTCACTAGTAACATACAGTGGACCAAAATTTGGGAATGTCTGATCCTATCCAGAAGTTTTCTTTCCAAAGACTCGTTCATCCAACGAACAGCAAAGCTCCAAGAAGAACACCAATTCCTACTTTAATTCCCCTGGTTCTCACGATGTTCCCCGAACATTACAGGATATCCCTTTTCATGGGAACCAGAACATAAAAAAAATGTAAATAGTTCCGCCTCCTGTGGATGATAGGTCTATGGATGAAGGCTATGTGGGTGACATGGTGTCACTTGAGCTACAAAACTAGAAAACCTTGGGGTCAAAGGAAAGGCCTTGGATTGGTTCCATAATTACTTATCAGGTAGGGAGCAATTTGTAACAATTGATAATTTTCGAAGTAACAATGGATCAATTTGTTGTGGTATCCCACAAGGTTAAATTCTTGGCCCTACCTTATTTCTCATATATATCAATGCTTTCAGTAAGCTATGTCTTGAAGGAACAGTGAAGCTGTATGCTGACAATACCACATTAAAAAAATAAAGAATCTATTCATCTTTCAATTGCAAATGATCTAGCAACTATTCAAAATATGCTGAACTCCCACAAGCTCACCCTTAACATTGATGAATCTAGTTATATCTATGTCAGTGAATCACAAAGCAAGGAAGTCAACCTAATTGATTTTGGCAATTCTCAGTTGATGTATAATCACACAGTGGAAAATCTTGGAATATCTTCTGATAGATGAAACATCATTCAATGCACATGTATTAGCACTAAGACAAAAATTCCACCATTTATAGGAGCATTATTGAAAATAAAGCAATACTTCTCAGTATCTAACTGCAAGCTACAATACTTTTCCCATATCTATTCTAGAATACACTTTTCCTAAAAAATCAAAGTGAAACCTCTTTTGTGACCTGCTATTAATATGCAATTGTGTATAACATAGTCAAATAAATTACTTACTTACTTACTATTTCAGATAAGAAATGATTAATCACATTGTAGTTCGCCTGGTTGAAATTATATGAATAAAACTTATTCTCAATCTGTTTTGTCACATTTTGACATATTTCTAAATTATAGACAAAATTACAATTTTCGAAAATAAGATCAAGGGATTTTTCAGAAACGTTAATATGATTGTATTGAGAAAAATCTCCAAATGACATAGTATCCACAAGCAAACAACTAATTACATCATGACAATTAGATGGTTGGGTATTTTGCTGGTATTATCAAATGTCAACTGAATATTAGGGAGGTTGAAATCACCACATAATACCAATTTATCATTTGGACAGCACAAATGAAATTTTATTGGAATATTATCACTAGTATCAAGAACTAGTTACCCATTACTCATGTTAGCACCAATGAAGAAATGAACCAATTCATCACAATGAATCAGTCTGTTATTTCTCAATGTATTGTTGCAAACTAACACTTGCAACCAAGAGTGGCTTCATATTTTTTTTGTATCTCTTGGAGTGCACAAAAGGAAATTTCTATAATGTATTCCTTGATTCAGGCTCCACTGAGTGTTTCAATATATTTTTAGACTTTCCAGATCTTAATACATATCTTCTCCATAATTAGATTTGATCTGCTTAAGGCCATCATATCCAAATAGATATTCTAACATTATCTATATTCCTAGATTCAACAAGTTGCCAAAAAAATCAACAAAAATACCACCTAATTGAAAATGGCAATTCATGACTCATACATTTTGATTTAAAAAAAAAAAGAATGTAGAAAATATACATGTACCATCAGCTCCTACTGAAACTTTCAAAACCAGTACTCACCTGCTCATTGTATGTGTCACATTTCAGAATCCATTTGTTTTCATCATTACGTTCAGCAGCTGCACCCAATACTCTATCAAATTCATCAAGTACTTGTGCCCAGTGCAATAGTTCACATTTTCCAAATGTCCAGGAGTGAATCCTGGACAACTCCTCTAATAATTCGGTTCTGGAGCATATTTGTAGACGGTCTATGAGCTGTTGGCATTCTATAGGAACTTCTGAAGTGCTCTTTCGAACTCTAGATCTATCTATTTTCATTTTTGTGATCAATGTTTGTATTTACTTCATAAACCATAGAAACAAAAAATGGTCATCTGTAACAAACATTATTATGAAGCTTTAAAAAATGTTACTTATTTATATGGCAAGAAAGAAAACTCTTTAACAAGGACCTAAATAAAGGCATAGAGCATGTCATACAATATTAAAAATAAAGGTACATGTATATATATCTGAGCTTTCAAGCTACATTGGTAAATTTTTGTATGTATGACAAACTGATATTCATGATACAATCAACAGATATAATTCAATATTCGACGTGGCAAATAGCCAGGAGAGTAGTTTTCTGTTGAATATTCAGAATGATGCTATGTGCATATACATATTTTTATCTGAAGGAGAATGCCAAGTCTCAACTTTAGAAGATTTTGTGTACAAATTCTTATCTTGTGTGTTCAATAGATATAATTCAATGTAATGGAAAGTAGTTGTTTTCTATTGAATAAACCAAGAAAGAATCGATATTTTTATCACATAGAGAATGTGAATTCTCAATGTATTTCTTAATATATATATACACATCCATTTTTTCATGTTCATAATTTATCTGAGAATTTTCATTTTCGATACATTAGTAAACATTACAAGACACTTCAAAATGTTTTATATTTTAGAGTAATTACAAAAATGTTCACCAATTCAACATGACTTTACAAAGTGTGAAATATCATAGAAATATTGTAGTAATATGGTGTAGAATAATAGTTTACTTCAAGTAGTCACAGAAAAACTCATCCAGGTTAGGTTAGCTTAAGTTTAGTAATTTGTTCAAGCTTTATTTTCCAGGGTTTTCAATTGCAAAGGTGAGTACTCAACGTTTTTTTGAATAGATGGATATCTGGGTATGTTGGTCGCAAGTATGGATATTGTTCATGTTTTATAAGAACATTCAGGTGTGCTACTTTGGAATAGATCATAATTTTTTTCATGAACATTGTTGCTTCTACGACGTTAGCATATGAGTGAGTGCAAAATCACAAATATATCAAGTTCTCTTTGGAAAAAAATCCCAGTGGAAAAATCGTGAATTAGTTATCAACAAATTATGAAAGTAGACATTTGCTCAAGAAGTCAAGCAAACCGCCACAACTGAAAAAAAGCCAAGATATAGTACAGGTGCTCTACAGAAAAAAATTTGCCGCCCGTCATATAGTTATAGTTGGTATGTACCCATATTCCATTTCAAAGATAAGAACCCAAAATAAACAGAAACCATACACTATATCTATTCCGTTTTTTGCACCAGGGTAATGGAATCACAAACACTAAGTGATAAAAAGGTTACAGGAGGAAATTGTAAAAAAAACAGAACAGAAATAAAATGAGCCATAACAAAAAACCAATGGAGTTGAAATTGAAAATCAAATACCAAAAAATAAAGTGGAATTTCTGATGTACATCTATACCATTCCATGAATCCACATGTATATGTATATCTGTCTATATTATGTGTATTTACATGTGGATAAAATAACATTCCACAATAATCCCTATGTTACTACTATGATATTATACATTTTTATTTATACCATTTACTTGAACTATGTTCACCTACTATTTATTGGCCCATCGGCGCATCTGCCCATGCACAAGTTTTACTTTTGTGGGCTTTTCTCCCATTTATTCACCATCTACTACATAAAAGCATGTATTGTATAATTGAAAAATCCAAATTTGTGATTTCATGGTAAATGAATTATCATTATATTATTATTATTATCATTATTATATACATATTGTTGTTATTATTTTGTTTGCAATAAAAATATTTTTACATCTATGTGATTTGAATGGTATATATTTCTGATAATCTGATACATATCTTTTGTAGAATTAGAATATTTGAACATCTCTCATAACAACAGATATACAGGTTGATTCACGGTGGATGGCACATTAGACGTTTGTGGAGAACGCAACTCAGGATTATTCTGAAAAGTTGGTGCCTTGGACAATTAGTTGTGTCCTATCGACTAAATATTTTCTCAGTATTGCGACGTTGCCGCTTATATTGAAAAGGAGCAACAAATTTGATTTTTCAAATGGGACACCCTGTATATTATTCTATTTTCAGAATAAAGATTTTGACCACCCTGTATCCATTTCAATTAAATATCAATTGATAGTACATGAAAAGTTAAGATAGGGACATGGAAACCGTTTTTACCAATTATGAATAGTTTGCACAAAAAATTCTTCAAGTTGAAAAATCTCGATTTTTCACGCCCTATATCTTTGTTATCATCCCCGCTAGACCCCAAGTGTGATAAATCGATGAAATCAGCTCTTCAGGGAAAATCTGAAAATGGAATGATACCTATACAGAATGTCTTATTAAAAAAATCAAAGTTGATGCTACTTTTCAATGTAAGCGGCAACGTCGCAGCGCTGAGAATATTTCAGGTCGATAGAACACAAATAATTATCCAAGGAACCAAATTTTCAAAATAATCCTACTTTGCGTTCTCCAGAAACGTCTAATGTACCATTCACCGTGAATCAGCCTGTATCTACAGTGTCATTCATAAAGTCGGCATCATATGGGAAAAACTTTTATTATTGACTTATTTTGGAATTCGAGTTGGACGTTAAGTTTTGCTTCAAAAAAGATGAAAAATGGCCTACTCAATCGGGGTCACGTGACTTTCGCTACATGTCAAAAGTGACATTTTTTTCAAATTAATCGCTAAAATTAGGCTTATTTGTTCGAATATCGAAAAAGTTTACTTGAGAAAGTTGTTTCTATTTGAATTTAACATATGTGACTCGGATTTTATCTTTCTATTACATTTATTAGATTTCGATATTTTTGAAAAATTTTCGAAATTTCTGTAATATTAAAAAAATTGTAAATTCGATAAAACAACTTCATACCAGTAGCTTCATCATGTTACTAACTTTTAATTACTAATTATCACTAACTATCGACAAAAATATGATTTTCTTCAGAAAATGATAATCTCCTCTTCAAAATTCTGTTATGTTTGATGCAAACATAACATAAAAATTCTGTTATGTTTGAGTCAAGAATTTAGAAACGAAATTCATTTGAATTTATTTTTTCAGTACTGAAAAGATCAGTTTAAATGAATTTCGTTTCTAAATGCTTGACGATATATCAACTTTGCATCAAACATAACAGAATTTGGAAGCAGGTATTATCATTTTCTGAAGAAAATCATATTTCTGTCCATAATCAGTGATAATAAGTAATTGAAAGTAAGTAGCATGAAGAAGCTACTGGTATGAAGTAATTTCGTGGAATTAACAATACTTCAAATATTACAGAAATTTCGAAAAATAAAAAAAAATAAAAATCTGAAAGTTCCAATAGAAAGATCAAATTCGGGAAGCATGTGTAAAATTGAAATAGAAACAACTTTTTCAAGTAAACTTTTTCGATATTCGAACAAATAAGCCTACTTTCAGCGATTAATTTGAAAAAATATCACTTTTGACATGTAGCGAAAATCACGTGACCCCGATTGAGTAGGCCATTTTTCATCTTTTTTGAAGCAAAACTTAACGTCCAACTCGAATTCCAAAATAAGTCAATAATAAAAGTTTTTTCCATATGATGCCGACTTTATGAATGACACTGTAGATCAAATTTGAAGCACATTTTGTTTTCAATTTAGATGATGAACAGAACTAGAGTTGAGTTAAATATACTGCTCCAGGAGTGTTGAGGATATTTTCAATTCTTGAAAAAAAATTCCAGACTAATTTGATTGCTGAAAAAGCTTAAATGAAACTCATGTTCTTCCATGATAGAAGATATTTCCAAATTTCTTATATCAAAATATGTTATGTTGTTTGTCATGGACAGATGAATTCATCAAGATATATAATGAAAATATGATTTATTTAACCAGCTCTTATTTGCTAATGAGGTATAAACATGCAGAAACAGGTAGTATTATTTTTCAACCCCTCCTTCTAAGAGTATGAAATTCTCCAAAATAAAATGTTATAATTCTGAAAGTAAGTTTTGTTATAGGTCAATGACTTTTTCTAGCAACCAGCATGTCCAAATATTTCTTATTCTCCGTAACAAAATATCATGTGATTGTTGGAGACTTGGCAGCAACATTGTACTGAATGCTGAGAACTGACAAGACCACGCCCACAAGTCCTGCACGGTGGTTGTCACGTTCACTGATTAATTAAAATGTCGTCTAGTGTAAATTAATATAATCAATATTTACACAAATTTATTGTAAGCTATAAGTCACAAATCATAAGGGAACATTTTGTGACAATTGAATGTTTTTTGCTAATTAATGTTATGATTCAGCAAATCTATACCATTATTTTGGCATTTTTTAAGACAAAACTGTTTACTTCCTTCATATTGCCTTAAAAATACATCAATCACAAAAGGGCTAGATAAGGTTTCTAGATTTTTATAAAGGGCGGCCAAAATTGTTTTGAATTTTTTTGTTTTTTATTCCACCATTGCTCACTTGATTGGTTCAATGTTTTTTTTGTTATTTATGAAAGTGTTTAATTTATATTTGTATTCAATATGTACTGACTTGTACTATTGCTTTTTCAAGCTCATCTGGATTAATGAAGACTGAACCAAAATTGTTTTCTGATATATATATGCATATTGCAACTAATATTAATTATGTGATTCATGAACTGTATTATGCATATTTATAGTTGTGAATAAATTATTATTATTATATATATATACAGGGTGGGCCACCAGTAAAACCCCGGTCTCTAGAAGGCTAACCACTCATCTTCTTGGAATTCTTCCTCTCTAGGAAGTTGCATGTCAACATAGGCTACCATTTAAAATTATTTCGAAACATACAGGGTGTCCCCAAAAAGTATAAAACACTGAAGTTAAACTTTTCCCTATATATTATTTCATTTTGAGATTCTCCCTGATGAGCTGATTTCAACGACCCATCATACTTGGGGTCTAGCAGTTATAATTACTGAAATATAGGGTGTGAAAAATCGAGATTTTCCAAATTCAAGAATTTTTTGTGTCGAAACTATTCATAATTGGTCAAAACGGATTACATGCCCCTATCTCAACTTTTGATTAACTATCTACTGATATTTAATTGGGACATATACCGGGTGATCAAGATTCTGAATTCTGCACCACCCTGTATTTGTTTCAATTAAATGTCAGTAGATAGTTGATCAAAAGTTGAGATAGGGACATGTGAGCCGTTTTGACCAATTATGAATGGTTTAGACACAAAAAATTCTTGAACTTGGAAAATCTCGATTTCTCACACCCTATATCTCAGTAATTATAACTGCTAGACCCCAAGTATGATGGATTGTTGAAATCAGCTCACCAGGGAGAATCTCAAAATGAAATAATATATAGGGTGTTCGATTGAAAAAAGTTCAACTTCAGTGTTTTTTGATTTTTGGGGACATCCTGTATGTTTCAAAATAATTTCAAATGGTAGCCTATGTTGACATGCAACTTCCTAGAGAGGAAGAATTCCAAGAAGATAAGTGGTTAGCCTTCTAGAGACCGAGGCATTACTGGTGGCCCACCCTGTATATGGAGCTGAAAGTACATCCAGAAATAAAGTGAATATTCTCTATAAACTCATTCCCAAAAAGGAATAATAAGAGAGCTTTGGAATAATAAAGTCATATTCTGAACTGAGATAAAGGTTATGTAGAGCCCATTTACATAGGATCAGCAAATGTATGTAAGCTGATATTACTTTAGAGTATTTTTACAGGATGCTTTTTTATACAAAAAAATGTCACCACAATATTTCATCAATTGACCCCCTATACACATAAAGGGGGCTTTGAAATATAAGTTGTAAATTCACCATAATGACTCAAATATAAATCAATTGAAGTCCAAGAAAACAATCAATGTCATTTATTAAACTTTGTGAAACTGATGTTTAACATCCATTGCTTCAAAGTGGTTTATCTCACTCAATAACCATTTTTGAAAGTTCAGATAGAAATAACTTTGTTTTAGAATGTACTATCAGCAACAGAAAAATCAGTATTTGGACCACTATATATATCATTTGCTAATAATGATAAACAGAAAATCAAAAGTGAAAGAATTGAATAAACTGGAAAATAAGGCAGTATATTATACACCACCAAATTGTGTGAAATATTGAATGTTTTCTTTAGTACAACAAAGTACTTTTAAAAATCCCCAATGATCTTGTAAAATTCTTGGAAAGCACACTTTGCCTTGTCACCCTAGGGGCCTTGGACTGTATTCAGTATAAAAAACAACTATTTGTTAATAACATTTTGATACTTACATGAACTTTTTTTACAAATATACCTTGTTAGAAGTATAATTATCAGAAGAAACTAAAAATTAGCAGGAAATCTTAAAAAATCGCACAATTTCATGTAGACAGATATCCGCCATATTGAAACACTGAATTGACAAAACAAATACAAAAGAGAGGAATTTGTGACAAGCTTAAGAACTTGTTCCATATTTTTGATCTCTCACCTTTTCTGAAAAGATGATTCTCGTATTATACTGATGAGCTGATGAATGTTTATTTTTCCGTGAATATAGTTACTGGACCTCTACACCAGATTTCTGATTTTATGTAACTAACGGTCTTTTGTGCTTCATGTGGAACAAAATCAGTACTTCTCAATCTTCCATTTACTGTACTGAGTCAAGTAAATATGATAAAGGCTCCCAACACTACTTGAATTTTGGAATATTCTTTGTTTAAGCTGAATATTTTGATAAAAACGTAGAAATATGCACACTTTCCTGTTAGGTTTCTCGAGACTACGACAGAAAATACAGAATAACAGAAATGCCAAAATTGCCAAATCAAATCATGGCAATAAAAGTCACTAAATAGTTACCAGAACATTCGAAAGGTTACTAATGTCAGTGATGTCAACTGTCACTCATGTCAACTAGGTTATGTTCCGTGAAGTTATTTCGGTTGGTAGTTTTCCGTTCGGCGGGTATGTTCCGTTTCCATAGTTCCCTGTGGTCACCTCATTTACCGACTGAAAACTTGTGAATTACGGAACACGATTCCTGAAAGAATGGTTACTCTAAATATCAGTATGTCACCAGTGTTTATACTACGTCATTAGTGAGATAATCTTCCATTTCCACTCATGAAGAAAACACGAGATGAATCATGATGTGAGGAAGCATGATATTATATTTATAGTTCATTCCTGACTTTTTCGAGCAACCATCAATGTCTTATGCTCCATAACGAAGTATGGTGATATTGGAGACTTGGCAACAATGTGCCGAATGCTCAGAACTGACAAGACACCGCCCACAATTCGTGCGCCGTGCTGTCACGTTCACCCTCAAATGTCCTCTAGTATGAATCAATATATGTATTAATATTATTATCAACACAAATGTAATAAGCCACAACAGAGATGAGGGACTATTTTGAGACTATTGATTTTTCATGTTCAATTAGGAATATAACTAATACAAAATTGAGAATTTATGAATTATTGAATAACTAATATTTCTGAAGTTCCAATCGTATTTCAACATATGGCAACTGTGCTATGGTCTGTCCCCACTTACGAAATCCTGACGTCAGTTTTTACTCGCCGTAAATATTTAGCCGTCTGAAAATAACCGAGGCATTATTCTTGATTTCAGCACCTTAAAATCGAACAAAAAATTCTAAGAAATGTTAAATTGAAAAGTATTTGAGTGAAATCGAAATTCCAACATGTAACTCGGAAATTCCGACTTATAACACAGAATTTTGAGTTGTATGTTAAACATAGAATTCCGAGTTGTAACTAAGGATTCCGAGTTGTTACTCGGAATTCCGAGCTGTAAGTCCGAATTCCGAGTTCAAACTGAATTCTGAGTTGTAACTCGGAATTCCGACTTGTTGTATGTTGGAATTACGAGTTGTAATACGGAATTTCGAGTTGCAACTCGGAATAAGTTCGTGTGCAAGGTTAGTAGAAGAGTTTCTACTAACCTTGGTTCGTGTGTGTGTTTCTGCTCATCGCCACCAGTGTTGCCAATAGGCGAGGACTCTCTGTGAGAAACAGTTGTTTTGGGCGTTATCTTGGGGAATTCAAAAAAATGGAGGAAATGGGTTCCTTCAGAATTTCTAGAATTTAGTTACAGTAACCCATGTTGATTTAAACTTGCTCATATAATGTGCTATAACGATGAAAAGGCTGCATTAATTTTAAATAGGTATTCACTGTTTTTTCTTTCCATTCCAAATCTATATTTTTGTATTCGAAAATTTCATTTGATTCTCCACGTGTTTATTCAATGAACCTAATGGGGTATAGGTATTGAATTGAGAGAAATAAATATGTTCATAGACATGTTCTGGTTTCTATTTTATTATTTCAAGAACATTTCTGCTTATGATAGAAGTAGTATGCATGTCCGTACTCTTAAGGGCGCCGTACATTATGCTATTTACAAGCAAGTTCGGTGCAATGCAATTTTGAATCGAACAATGCGCATGCGTCTATGATATTTCACCGCAAGTTTCATGCAAGTTTCATAATAGAACCAGTTTTATTTTTCCTGCAATTTCAACGCAAGTTTAGTAAAATTTTTAGTAATATTCATCGTAGCATCTTGATAAAATACAAATTCTCTCCATAACGTGGCCTGAAACACCAAATAACCTCAAAAAGTACATTGAAGGCTCAAAAAACCTGAAAATAGTGAATATGAACAAGAAAATATGACATAAATATCTCAGAAATATCTTAATGTACGGCGACTTGCAATCAATTGCGGAAATTGCGAGAAAATTGCATTGCCTCAAACTTGCCGAGAAATAGCATAATGTACGGCGCCCTTTACGCTAGCACATGATATACTGTGCCCACTAATGGTGTACCTATAATATGTAATTTAAGTGCTAAGAATTGCATGATAAGTCGAATTATACTTTATTTGAAACGTCTTCTTGAATTCTTTATATGATAAACTTACCAGTATTTCAGACAGAAATATTCATCTAAACAAAATGGCGGATAATATTGTTTGAAATTTCACTTTTTTCCACAAGATGGCTAATAACGTGCTCTCATGTAATCTTCAAACTCTCTGTTGGCATCGTGAAATGTTCTCTATTCAGAAAAATGTCGCCTATTGACAACACTGGTAAATATACATAGAATATTCATTATACAGCACACACAAATTACAAGTTGTAAGTCGGAATTCTGAGTAAAAACTCAAAATTCCGTATCGAAAGTCGAAATTTCGAGTTACAACTCGGAATTCTCAGTTACAACTCGGAATTCTCAGTTATAACTCGGAATTCTAAGTTACAACACGGAATTCTCTGTTACAAGTCGGAATTTCTAGTTACAAGTCGTAATTCCTAGTGATGAATTCCAAGTTGTAACTCGGAATTCTGACTTATTGTAACCCGTAATTTCGATTTGTAACTAGGAATTTCAACTTATAACACAGAATTCCGACTTGTAACTAATGATTCTGAGTTGCAACTAGGAATTCCGGGTTGTATCTCGAAATTGCGACTTGTTGTTTGTCAGACTTTTGAGTTGTAATACGGATTTTTACGAGTTGTAACTCAGATTTCTTAGTTGTCATTCGAAACTCCGAGTTGCAACTCGGAATCAGTAGATGTTTGTGGCATATTATCGTGTAGGATTAAAAAGGAAGAAATGGGTTCCTTGATAATTTCTAGAATTTGGTTATAGTAACCCATGTTGGTTGAAACTTATTGCGCGAACACTGCGCTATAACGATGAGAGGGCTGCAATAATTTTAAATTATTTTTTCCTTTCATTCCGAATATATATATATATATATATATTTGTATTCGAAAATTTTTATTGTTTCTCCCTCCACGTGTTTATTCAATGAACCTAATGGGGTAGGTATTGAATTGTTGCTAGTTGAAAGAGTATAAAATCAATAGATAACCAACCACACAAACCAGCTAACCGAGGTAGTTCACGGAGTAGTTGAGGCTTTTGATTGGGCACTGGATTATGATCTTGTTGTTGTTATAATCTGAGGTTATATAATTTATGAGAAAAAATAATTGTACTCCTCAAAGAGGTAATTCTGGATTCATACGAAGCAATTTTCAATGAGAGATCTCATCATATGTTTGATGAAAATGAATATTTGATTCATTGAAAATATTTACGTAATGAATTGTTCCAATTTTCTTGAATTTGAAGTAGGTAAGTACATGGCAATTCTGTAACGATTAACGACATCGTTATAGCGAACGATAATCATTACGGAACGATATTTGTTATTCTGTAGCTAACGATTGTCGTACCCGTACGACAAAACTTATCGTTTATAGACGACATCGGTTGAGGTGTCTTTGGAGGCATTTTTTGGTCGTTACGTGAACGAGACATAAAAAATATAATATAGAACGTGGTAGAGAGTGGTGAATCTAGAAAGATAATTTGATCGCTGATTATTGAAAAATGAATATATGAATAACGGACATCAGTAGAGCTTGTTCTAAAAGAGATAGCACACAGATAAAATACTCTTCATTGTTTCAAGTGATCGCATATTGGTACATTACATATTATATATTATATCATGAATGATGGAAGTAAGATATATGGTGTAATTACTGATGCGCTTTTGTTTCAGAAATTTTACTCGACCTCTCGAGAGCAGCGAGAGCAATGGTTCCGTCGATCTTCTGATAGATGGTGACATTGCACAATTATGATTTCTGTCAGTTATTGAAATTGTCGCAGATTTTTCGAATTCAGAGTTGTTTAATCCCACTGTTACATATGTTCTGCGTACCTAAAATGGCATTTGCCATTTTATTTCCACTTGTCACAGCAGCAATAGCAGCATCACCATCTAGCGTGTTGATGTAGAATCAACGTCTCGCTCGTTGTGACGTACATAAATCATAGTAGGCCGGTCGAGTGATTTTTCTGAAATTTTCAATACGTAATAATGGCAGAATGCACGCACCATATCTTACTTCCATCATGATATCATGTAATATCATCAATATTATTTCAGACAGAAACATATAGAAAGCATGTGCTGTGTTCTATGTGGGCTTTGTTAGTAACTCCATACGCCACCTAGGAAGCAGAACCTTTTGATAGGAACGAAACAACGAATCGTGCGGAATCATCTCCAGCCGAGGCAACAAAAATTAGAATTTCTCTAGTTTTATGAATAAAAACTCTGCTCTGCGAGGGATTCGAACCTAGCGACCTCTCGATGTTCTGTGTACTAGTCGAGCGCCTCAACCACTGCGCTATTTCACCGCCCTTCTTTCGACTGGTGATGGAATTTTTATCACAAAAAACAACATTTTTTTTTCTGGATGTCGAAGTACTGACCATATTATTTGACAAAAATAACATACCATTACCTTCTTTCCAACTTCTGACGAGTTTCGCGCGTTTTTAGCCACAGATCATCAATTTACTGTTACAACAATTCACCGAATCCATTTATTATTACCATGTCCTCAGATTTTTCTTCAACGACATCGATACTGAATAAGCTTTTAGAATTCATCGTTCAAAATGTCGTTGGTCCAATGTACCGTCAAGGTAACGATATCGTATTCTAACGATAAGTTACTGAATTGACCCCTTGGTGTTATTTGCCCCACCTGACGGCAGCAACTTGAATACTTCTGAGCGGTTTGTTTTGAAGATATGACCAATAATCACAAACAAAAAACAAATGTGAACCAATGAAAACAAAGTAAACATGCCGCTTTAACAGCTTTCAAGAACTCTGATAGGTGGCGTACGCTTATTTTCTATCTCGAATTAAAACTAAAAACCAAACAATAAACAAAAACAGCCGATAAACTGACCTCTGTCAAGGCTCACAAGTAAACGTCATAATGAAGTTATCGTGACGTCATCATAAAGTTAACGTCTGCCTGATGGTTACGTTTTACGTTCGAGGAAAAACGACTGGCCAACGTTTATACCGTGTGGATATTTGGTAGTATGCTCACCAAGGAGATCTAACTTAATTCAGACCAAATGCCTTAGTTAACGCATTTTTACACTATATCAATCTTCAGTTAACTAACGTTACCAATTTTGTTTTGATTTGATTATTTTTTTGAGGTTAGGTTGTGGAACTCCACTTGAATTCGTAAATTAAAAACAAAACCTTTTAGTAGGATACGGAATTAGCTGAAATTAAATGAAATATTATTATGAAAACTCACGGAATAACTGCCACTTGCACTCAAGTCAAGTCATGTTTATACAAAAGTAGACCAACATGTTTACACCGTCTTGGTCATCATACTATTTTAGTCTGGTACGCAACAAATTTCGGTACCAAACCAAGCTAGTAACTTTACCAAGTATACAGTTCATACCAAACCGACCAAGAGTATTTAGTCAAAATATAAAGTCATTAGTCAGCTTAACCATGACACGGTATAAACGTGGCCAAAGTCGATGACTTGACCATGGAAACTCCAATTAGTTCCATGCAAGGTGGATAGATGTCAACATGTCAAATCTGTCAACTGTAAATATCAAAAATCTTTTTTAGTTTATGTTGCAAAATTTGGCTAGGATTTTGTGATTAGTTATAGGATTATTAGCAACAATAATTATTTAAATAACGATTTTTTTCAAGTAATGGATGATAGCGAATTTTCCCATAGAGCTCGTAAACGAATAAAGGAAGTGAAGAAAAAAGCTAGACCAGGTAAATTTATCCAAAAAAGTAACCCCTATTCCATTAATTTCTTTGCCAAAGAAGTGAAGTGGTTTAGGAACATTTATTAAAGTATTATGTTTTGTTCTTAGAACTGAACACCAAGGAATCCTGGAAACAACTAGGCTTTGCTTCTGATTTTGAACGATTCCAAGACTTCACAGATAACTGTGAGAGAATTGACCAGGTGACAAGTTCCCAAAGAGAATTTATTTCAAAGTATGAACTTCCCTATAAGCCAGTTGTAATCACTAGAAGTCAAATTGGTTGGAAAGCCAATGAAAAATGGACCCTGGAAAAACTAGCTAGAAAATATAGAAACCAAAAATTCAAATGTGGTGAAGACAATGAAGGTTATAGTGTTAAGATGAAAATGAAGTATTATATTCAATACATGCTCAACACTAAAGATGACAGCCCCCTATATATCTTTGATAGTAATTTTGGTGAGGTAAGTTTAATAAAATTGATTATCTTAATTTGTTTCAATTTGTAGTGAATTTTACTCATAACTGTTATAACATATACCAAGACACATACATATAACAAAAGTTCAATATATATTCAATATGATGGGAATTATTTATTTCACTCCTCTAATGAAATGGATTTAAATTAATTACACTTTCAGATAGTTTTGTTAGATACTTTTAAACTTCCAGAGAAAAAGTTTTTCATTACTTTCTTCCTAAATATTCCATTTTTTTCCTAAATAATATTTTATTTCCAGCATCGGCGTAGAAAAAAATTGTTGCAAGATTATGAAGTGCCCTACTATTTTAGAGATGATTTATTGAAATATTCTGGTGAGAGCAAAAGACCACCTTATAGATGGTTTGTTATGGGACCAGCTAGATCTGGAACTGGAATTCATATTGATCCACTTGGTACTAGTGCTTGGAATGCACTTGTGGTTGGCCACAAGAGGTATGTTTTGGATTCTAAGAACTGTACTCAGAACTTTATCCATATGCACCAACTACTGTGACAAGCAGAAGACCTGCCAAATCCAGTACAAGTCTTGAATGAAAGTTTAGTTTCATACTTGAAAAAACCTGATAGTTTTTACAAGAGTTATTGGTGATCTATTCTTCTCCTTTCAGATGGTGCCTATTTTTAACTCATAGTTTTTATAAGAATTGTTGGTGATCTGTTGTTCTGCTTTCAGATGGTGCTTATTTCCCACTCATACTCCCAAAGAACTGTTGAAGGTTACAATTCCTCTAGGTGGCAAACAACGAGATGAAGCTATAACATGGTTTGATGTAATTTACCCAAAAACTAAGAGTGCTGATTGGCCAGAAAATTGTAAACCAATTGAGATTCTCCAGAAACCAGGAGATACTGTATTTGTGCCTGGTGGTTGGTGGCATGTTGTTCTCAACCTAGATATGACAATAGCAGTTACTCAGAACTTTTGCAGTAGAACAAATTTTCCTGTAGTCTGGCATAAAACTGCAAGAGGCAGACCTAAATTATCCCGCAAATGGTTGAAAGCTTTAAGAGAAAAAGAACCAAATTTAGCTGCATTGACAGATAGAATTAGTTTAGATAAACCATCTGGAGTTGCTTCAGACAGTTCCAGTAACTCATCTTCAAGTTCCAGTTCGGAATCTGATAGTTCCGGCTCTGAAAATGATGATAGTGGCCAAGAGTCTATTTCAGCCAAAAAGAAGAAAAGGAAGTCTGATTTTGATAATGAGAATAATAGAAAAACTTGTCCAAGATTGGTAAGTTATTTTTTAGCATTCATTATAATACCATTATTGTACCTGCATAATAGGTTTTCTCAGATTTATTCCATCTCTTCTGAAGATACAGATTTTTGTTTAACTGAAGATGCCAACTTAATTCCAATGTATTACATTTTTTTATATAATTTTGAGTCAAATTCCACATTTGAGGACATTCACAAAATTACATTTCTATTTAAAATGGCATGATATAAGATTTTCCTCAAATCTAGTGACTACTATTATTATGCAAGGAAAAAAAAGTATCCAAATGAGAAATTTTTCAGAAATAAGCATTTATTTTCAGCCTTCTGACCTCAAAAACAGGATGAGTCAGAATAAGACCAATAAACCCCATAAGCAAAATCCTAACCTCATTTTGAAGTGAAAGTTCCTATTCAAATATGTCCTAAAATGCACCCTCTGTGAAATAATTGAACTTGATATACAATTCCAGAATAATCAAGTTGATTAGGTACTTGGAGTTTTCATTTTCAAATTCTGTTAACCAGTGGCATAATATGTCAGCACATTTCCCTTCATATTATTTGTTACACATATGAAATGTCAAATTGGTGTGTGGCATCAGTTAGGCTTATTTATACTCAACCTGAAAGTAATGACATTCCACATGCCTAAATGTAAAGGTTCCTGGGATTTTTGCAAAAAACTAAAGATACCTATGTCCTGAGGTAATATTGCTACATGTTCAAGAAATAATTGTAATGTTCAATTTTGTTCACATATTCTACAGGTTGCAACTTTGAGAAATAATAATAATAAAAGTGCTTTATTGGTCACCCAATAGGCCACCAACTGTAGTAGTCCTTCCTGTTACACATTTACATATATTGTATTTCATTTGTTTTGCTGTATAATATACAAATATAATTATTTTTATGTGGAATATTGTTTGGTGCAGGTAAAACAAAAAGGTTAATTTCTTGGCACTTCTGCTATGTTTGTTATGTATTCTAGCAAGGTGTTGACAATTCTGAAGTAATTGATCTCCGGTGATAACTTGGATTTTTAGACGATTTTCAGAAATTTCAGGATTTTGTATGTTATTTTTCATAAAAACCAATTTATCTCACTTTAGAGCATTGAATCAGGAGGACTTTTTTCATGTGGAAGATTTTGGCGCTTCTGAATGTATTAAACATTACAATAGCTCCCGTGACATAAAAGTTTGGAGGGGTTAAACCCTTGCCAGGCGTTGAACTCTCCTCAAATGACCAAGGAAATTGATTAAGAGCCCTAAAAATAGTCATTATTAATGATGAAGTGTGAACAAAGGCTCAACTACATATCTCAAACGGTTCCAGAGATAAGATGTTACCATCAGGACAATGAGGCGTGCATGCTCCGTGGTGACGTCACCTTAGTGAGGCCTAACCAGCGGCTCTAAAGGACAAGCGCTTATGGCGCTATAAGGCGTCCGCGTATTTCAATTTTAGTTTAAGATCATTATTGAGCCAATTTTGCTGTTTTTTTGAAGGGCTTCCGGTTGAAAAAGGATGCCAGTCGTCAACTGAGCCCTTCTTCGCACCCCATTCGATTTTATTATGGAAAAACGAAGTTTCAAAGAAAAAACCAAAATAAAACACAAATACCCACATACAGCAACCCATTCGGATTAAATATATTGGCAAAAATTGTGGAGAAGGTAAATTTCACACTTATACAAGTGTTTGTAGTACATGTTGAAGTGATAGTTGAAATTTGATCAATGGAATGAATTCTGCATTCATTGCCACGAGGCAAATGACCGTTTCCAGAAAGAAATTTGAGAATGTATTGAGTTAAAAATGCCCGTTTATCATTCAAGAAACTTTCCTCGAATTCAGAGATGTTGTGTTGATTTTGTTGAATATAATATACGAATACAAAACTAACTGCACAATCAAAGCTTTTCTCTTTCAAATCTACTCATACTTTTTATGAGTGAGTAATTGTCTTCTATTATTAATCCATCATTATAAATTAAGCTCTGTTTACTACTGTACTTAGATGGAGTAAAATCCTCGCGGTGAATTGCATACACCCACTTTTTCGATAGTTCCTCGTCCAACGGGAAACTAAAAGAATGAACTTTTGGACCACCCACATAATTCCCCCGACAAAAGGGAACACAACACTTGAAAGGCATTGTTATTTCGCTTATCACAACACGAAATATTTCACAAAACAGTAATTTTTCCGCCAAATGTTTTGATGAATAAACAACAAAAGAATTCGGGACCGCTTCAAAAACATATTATGTGAACCACCGAACATGAATTAACACGGACTGACGCGTTAGTCCACACACTGGCCTCTCTTAGGTGACGTCACGAGCTGTTTACGTCAGAGTCTGCTGGCCTTCTAATCTCGATGGTAACGGTAAGAGCAAAAATCTGAGAATTAATTTTTTTTAAGGAAAAAAAAAACTTATTTATTAACACTCTCTATTTGGGGCAGTGAAACATTTATAGTTTGTAGAGCATTCCATTATCCCACACACTGTCAATGGCCTCGTTTATCTTCAAGATATAACTCAATTTAAACTGTTCACCTTCCAATAATATGTTGAATGAGAATTAAGTTTCGCCATCTACTTCTGACTCACCCCATACTATGTTTTCAATGTTCTCAGCATTCAATAATATTCAGGTGGTTGACATATTTTTTTGTATCTAAGATCAGCATTATGCGATTATGGCACATAGCAAATTGGGTCTCTACTCAATATTACCTGAACATATCTTTAGTTTTCAGCAAATATCTCAATAACCTTTACATCTAGGCATGTGAAATGTTATTACTTTTAGGCTAAGTATTGATGAGCCTAACTGATGTCATATATAAATTGGACAATGGGGAAGTTTGCGATATTGAGGTTTTCATCTCACTGTAAAGTGTGTCGGATAAAAATCAATGAAAGATTGGCTTCTTCATCATTTCTATGATGTTCTTTCTGATGAGCCACATTCACACAGAGTTGAAATACGATTCCCTGTGTGAGTACTTTGTCAATATCATCAATATCTATCGATTTCCGGAAACTGTTATTTGAATACATTATAACTATATTAAAATAGAAATTTATTCATCATTAAACATCATTAAACATATCATACATGTGGTACATACAAAAAAACTTTTATCAGATTAGTCAGAAAATTGTTTAACTACGCTTTATAGTTATAGTGCATAGTACTAATTATGGGTTCTTCAGCCCATTATCACGTATTTTGCGTAATTTCAACATATTAAACATTGATCCATTTGTCCATTCCTTAACTGATTTTAAAAATAAAATTTGTATAGTTGATCCTGGCTCGATCCACAATTAATCTATACTTTAGTGTTAATTTATAAAGGTTGGTTAATACAGGAATTTTGTTTTGTATCCTTCAAACCAAACCATATAGTTCAAATTTGAAATTTCAATCAATATCAATGCTATATTATTGTTCTTATGCCATCTTGTCAATCTGTAATAATTAACTATTGTAATGGTGAATCCGTTTATTAAATAAATAAATAAATAAATATATATGTTGAAAGATGTAAGAACAATGATAGTTTTTTCCTACACTACTTTAGTGTGGAGCATTATGAATAATTTTTATAAATCTCTCATCTGCTGGATGAAGTTGATTAATAATAAAGATGAATTATGATATTATGCAATAGTATCTATAATTTTCCACTTTCATTATATTACAAAATGATATAGCCATACTTTGCCTGTCTTTTTTGTGCAAATAAATTCGTTTGTCCATAAACGGTTCAATTTTCTAGGAAAGTGGCAGATTGCAACAGCACATAATACTTTGAGCCCATCCACACCACACAAAATACTGACAGGCACACCACGAGAGCTGATTTGATTTTGTGGTTATGTATGTTTTTGTTTACTATATTTGTGTCGATTTTTGATCTCCAGTTATTCGTTGGCCTGTCAACAGTTTATGGTTGATTGTTAGTTCCTCATTTTTCATGATATAATCAATAACGACGCCAAGTTGTCTTCTTCTTCTATTTTTTTATTCGTTTTTTATTGGATCACTCGTTAGCCATTCGCTAGTTATATTCTTCATCAGCTATATTCAGAATGTACGTCACAGTTTTGCCATTCCTCTGTCTAAGAGGTAAATTATGGTGACCCACAACCGTGACTACACCACTGCTTAACGAAATTCAAAAATGGAAACGCCATGTGATTACTTTGATTAATCTGAAATTGTATACCGAGTTTCAATATTTTTCCTACAGGGGTTCCCACGGAATTGATTTAAAACCTTGATTTTTTTCGTACTTATGACACCCTGTATCTCAAAAAGGATACTTTTTACAACATACCTTTATAGGAACTTTTCAAGACCAATTGCGGTAAGGAATCCGTATACGAAGTTGTTATTATGAATTGAAAATAAGGCATATTGATTTAAAAAAAAAAAAAAAAAAAAAGTTTGTCGGTCTTATTCTGAATCACCCTATATACACCGTGCCCAAGATGAGGATGCCGGGGATCGTTTATTTTTTTCCTGACGTTATTTAAGGAGATAGGAAACCAAGACACTTTTCATTGTCACTTCTTGAGCTCTACAAAACAGTGTTGAGAGATATTTCGTACGTTTCGTTTCGGAGAAACCATCATCAACTTTACCCCATCATAGACATCCTCATCTTGGACACTGTATATACAGGGTGTTTCATTACTCATTGAAAATATTTCAACTAAATAATCTTCCGCTCGCAATATGAAGATTTGACCCAAATCACCTAGATAAAATGTGTCTCCTTCCTAAGTTACAGGGTGATTAATTTGAAAATTTCGAAAATCATTTGTGCCTAGTACTTTGAAACTAATTACGTCATTGTCATATTTGGCGGGAAATGTAGATACTATACACCCTACTAAATTATGTAAAATGGACGTTTCTGGCAAGTGACTGGTTGATCCTTCCCAAATTCTACGCCACTGGCGGGTTAAATCTCCATATTTTGAACTCAGGATTTTATAGCTGAAATATTTCCAATTAGTAATGAAACACCCTGTATATATAAAGTTGTTTCCAAACTATATAAACCTACGGAAGTATGATTATTATCATCAAGAATTATACTATTTTTGAAAGTACTTTTCGTCAAATATCTACTCTATTAGGTACCTTTTCAAGTTATTGTATATGCATAGATGAATGAATTGATAAAGGGTATTTATAGTTTTCAGAGTGTATTGAAAACCTTGATTTAACAATCATCTGAAATTATATACAGGGTAGGAAGGTAACGGTAGGAACCATTTCTGGTTACACCTTGCCTTAGTCAGTACCTTCCAATAGATACCCTCAAGGACTGTATATTATTTCTTGTAAACATGCAATGCAGATATGAAAATGATGATTAACAGTGCAATTTGGCTAAAATGGTTTTTGTTTTTTCAAATAAGTATAACTTCAAGATCTCCAGTAATTTAATCAGAATGGGCGAGTGGACTGATAATGAATAATTGCATTCAATTACTCCACTGTGTCGTTAGGGACCTTAATTAATGTTAGCAACGTTTTTCACGGTTATCTTATGTCAATAATGAGTTTATGCGGTGTTCGAAATTGTTGAATTTTAGAGCTCATTTCAAACGATCTGTCATGGCCGCCATTTTGCGATACGTCGAATAAATGGTAACGTCAGTTTTCATGCTGTCTGATTATTAGTCAGATAATATTCCATTCCCACTCACGAAGCAAGGTTGTCAAGTAACCATTTATAATCAAGTAATCAAAAAGATGTGACGAGTCATGTCGTTGAATAAAACATAATAGGAGGAACCCATGCTATCATAGTTCATTCTTGACATTTTCGAGCATGCAACATATCCACATATTTCTTATTCTCCATTACAAAATTTCATGTGGATGTTGGCGACTTTGCAACATTATGCTGAATAGTTGAATAGAATGGCGACCGTTGAATATGATTTCTGATTTGAGTTGGCGGGAATTCGGTCGAAATGTTGAAGAAAACCAATTTTTAAATTGTCGACGTTTCGAAACTTTATTGTTTCATCTTCAGGACACTGAAGTAAAAACAAGAACATACATATTGTATGTGTTAAGGTCTTTCATGAACCTGTGTGTACGTATTTATACTTTATGTCGATTTTATTTATTTCACTATTTGTAAACCCGGAAAGCCACCCTAAATGTAAGTATCTATCAATGTTGTTTTCTGTAAAGTGTGAGAAGTGTTTTATTTTCAACGATTGTTATTTTACATAACTTATTTTGCTTTCATCAAAACCCCTCATTTTAAAAAATCATTTTAATATGTATGTTCTTGTTTTCACTTCAGTGTCCTGAAGATGAAACAATAAAGTTTCGAAACGTCGACAATTTAAAAATTGGTTTTCTTCAATATTTCGACCGAATTCCCGCCAACTCAACACCAGAAATTATGCTGAATACTGAGAACTGACTAGACCACGCCCACAAGTCGTGCACCGTGTTGTCACGTTCACCGATTCAAATGTCTTCTAGTGTGAATAATTATAATTATCATTTACACAAATTTATTATAAGCAATAAGCCCCAAATCATAAGGAAACATTTTGAGGTAATTGAATTTTAATTGCTAATTAGGAATATTATCAATATTCAATTGAGAATTTATGAATTATTGAATAACTAATATTTCTGAAGTTTCCAATCTTATTCCAACACATGGCAACTGCGCTATGGTCTGCCCCTACTAAGGAATTCATGGCGTCAGTTTTCACTGGCGGTAAATTTCTGGCCGTTCGAAAATTACCGTGGCATTATTGATGATTTTAGCACCTAAAAATCGACCGAAATATTCTTGAAAAACATGAAATTGAAAGGTATTTGAGTGATGATTCTATTTAAGAAATAATAAAAAATAATCCACTCGCCTATTGTGTACGTAGATAAATCATTAATTCTGTGATATTGTTTCAATGATAATATTTTGTCTATGTTTTTCATGAGATATATGAACACAACAAGAAATGTCATAGTGCTCATATTTTTGTTTTGGTAGATATTGAGTTCGTTCCATTTGGCTGATCCATATTGTATAATGGGGTTCAAGAATAATCCTTGAAGTACCCTCTAATGTATTAATCCTGTTTCTAAATAAGAATTATTTCAAAATGTCGATTGCTGTCTGTCTGAAAAATATGAGGGCACAAGCCAAATCACCTCCCATTTATGTGCCTATTATCATTTTTTATATATGATATACATGATGCAGTTATGATTTTGGCAAAATCTTTGTTATCATAACTTTTGACTCACTTTCTAGAACCTATTCATTCTCAGGAGGTATATTTCACTTAAGAGTACTCATCAAACCTAAATGGAAATTGAAATCAAATATTTCAGGAAAAACAGACAATTTCTTTCATTTTGAAAACAACACCATGCAAAGCGAAATTTCTTAGATTTATTTCGATGTCCGAATAGAGCGGTGAAAATGTATAAAATAATCAACTTTTTACGAGCGCGCATAAAATTCGACATTTGTGACCAAAGGCCTAATTTTATTTTTTTTTTCGAAACATTCAGCTCGATTTTGAGACATGTTTGATGAACCCATGATTCAAAATAACAGTCTTATAGTCAAATTAGCTGAACTATGAATAGGACTTCTTTGTGGAAGATATAACTTCGCCATCATTTTAGATATTTTGAATCGCCCATTGCATTCTTCACTATTCATTCATTAGCTATGGTGAAGTCGGCATTGCAAAAAAATCCATTAGCGGTGTTACATTTCAAAAAACGTTATTCAAAATGACAATCATAATAAAATGGGGTACATTTTATTCCACGTTTTTCTAGAGCAATAATTCACCAATTCCGTGGACAAATAACCATGGAGCTTCCATATCTCCTCTGGATAATATAGAGAATGAAGAGACACCCAAGTGATTTACAAGAATTTTCATATATCTGCGCGAGTGTGCTTGAATGCCTTGTCCCATTTTATATGATCATAAGAGATGCATAATTGTCATATTTTCATACTTTGAATAATTCCCCAGCAATCAGCTGACAAAATCAATAGGTATTATTTTGTAAATGTACATTATATTGAATTGAAAATAAATTGTTGAAGTATTTCTTCTGTTTTTTTTAAACACTGCTGACTGCTCTATCACCCAAAAAAATGCACCTGGTGAATTTATGGCTCAAATAGTACGAATCCAACTAAATATGGTGTTTCCTAATAGCCCACTTATTAGTCGATATATACAGGGTTGGTCACTTTTGAAGCATACTATGGATTCTCCTAAATTTCAAGATTTTCAGTTATGTATATGTATATACATATATCATGTATATACATATATCATGTATATACATATATCATGTATATACAGTGTGACCCACTTCTAATGGAACCACCCCTGTATCTTATGTAATCTTGGGTAAGGATCCTGAAATTTGCTGGAGCGAGAGATATACCAAAAATGCACTCTATGACCAAGTGGGGTCATCTTCAGTGATATACACTGCTCGCCAACAGCCATGAAACTACCCCAATTTCCGGAAAATGATATTAGGAGTCAAAATAGGTCGAAAATCACTTCAGATTTGGAATCAGGACGCCCAATTTACTAGCTATCCAAATTTTTCCTGGAAAATTTTCAGTTCGGAAAAATGAAATTTTGTCGCATTTTTTATGGAAGCATCCCCGTATCTCACGTAATTGACTTTATCTTTTGGACTTTCTCTTCCTCCGGCAAATTTCAGAACCCTACCTCAATAATTACTTAGCTGAGGAGAATATTTGGCATATCTATAACTCGATTTGGGCTATCCGATAAGCGTTCAAAAATTGTGAGACCTACTTGAATCATTTTTTCCGTCAACCTCGTATTAACGAGTATGTTCAAGAAATTGATCGTTAATGACACCTTAAACTTCTGAGTATTTCACTGTTGGCACTATAACTCACGGAATCTGCATTTAAATCGAAAATATGAACTTCATTAAAGATTTTACATTAACTTAACGGGGTAACCTTTTAACGTTTCTGAACCGATTTTAATTCCTGTTTTTTGACAAGAGGAACTTCATGTTGACATTTCAACAAATGTCACTAATGTGCGAACCAAGTTTTCTTCATTGCAGGAGAGAAATATAGTCGACGAAAAAAAAAACTCATATTATCAAGGCGATTAATGATCTTGAACCTTAACAACGCTTTGTGACACGTTGAAATATCTCGATCATTAACCGCTGGTTGAATAATTATTTTACAGCGATCATGTGATTTTCCTATGAGCACCATATTCAATCTTCATACCATATTGAAAAGAGAAAAAAATATCATTTCATGAGACACCAGACTCCTGAACTATCTTGATTATTTTTCAACTTGAAGGTATGGGAACAATGAAAAACGTATCAAATATGAAAAAAAGTCCTTATATTCAAATTAAAACCTTATAAACAATTATTGAATTATCATCATCAAAAACAACTTAAAAAAATGTTTGAACTAAAAAACAACATTTCCTTCATATATTTACCTAACCACTATCAAAATTAAACAAATCATTAAAGAAAAAATAATAAATCACATAAAAAATACTCCCATATTACATATTCTGTGAGTAATTTGGATGGATATAAATATGAAGATTTTCTAATGCGATATATCCTTCAAACACCAAGTTGTTCTCAAAGATTCCAAGTACCATTCTGAACTACTGAATTCAATCCTTTGATAGCTTTCTTTCAAGGGGGAATATAAATGTGAAATTAGAATAGGTAATTATATATTTTGTATATATAAAATATAATTAGACAGTGATATTATTTATATCCGTTCAATAAAACATATTTCACATTGATAAATGTTTCTTTTCCACTTCCTATTGATTGGACATAAATAACTTGATAAGACCATTACGAGAAAAGCTCAGACACTTCGCTTATCTTTTTCAGATGCACATTTCTTGGTCTTTCTCAATTGTTCAATAAAAATTAAACACAATCAAACACAAATCATTCATAAAATGAATTGGCTTCCATGAAATGTACCAATAACTTTTTTTATTCTTAAGATTAAGAGGACATTCTGGACAGCCACTTCTCTTGTTGATAAGATGCATTTTTATTCTTACTGTGCTCGTTTTTTTTTGAATCTCTTGACCTAATAGTATAATAATGAATGGTACGCATTTCTGAATCAACTTCACTTTTGAACGATTAATTGCTTGATTATAAATTTTCTTTTTATATGACTTGAAACGCATTTTATAATTATTTCAAGTAGGTACCAGAATCCATTAATTTGTGACATGAAGTATAGAATCAATTGAAATTTAAGTCTGGACAGGTTCATCTGTTAAGTTGAGTAGTAAAAAAATTCAAATTCAGATCTGAACATTTTACGAATAAAAACAATTCTGAAATTTCGGGGAATTGGAGAAAGCGGGATCTTTGTCTGATAGCTTTTTATAACTCTTGGTTTATCAGGATATAAATATAGCATGTACAGTGTTTCGAAACCACCAAAATCTCTCGTGAGCTGATTCCCCAGACATAAGTAAGAAAGAAGATCATGTAAACATGGGTCCTCATTTGATATTTCAACAACATTCAATGAAAAGAAACAAAAGTTGGCACAATCACTACTGATGTGTCGATTTTTACAAATTTCATGTTCGATATGAGATTTAAACTTTCTTCAGTTATTGTTTTTGAAATTGCTCAGAAGATTTCGGTGAAGTTTAGAAATACCCTGTGTAATCACATTTCTCCACATTTGAATATTCATCAGATCAGAGATTCTAATACACACATTATGACTTCTGACTTCTACAACCTGCAAGAAGGTAAAAATGCGCCCAATATTATGTTCGAGAACATCAGAACAAGATGGTACCTAGTGGGCAATTATTGTAAACATTGGGATCATTCATGATGCAGCATATTTAATATATGGATAATTGTGTAAAACCTCATAAATCATTACATTTCTCAATTATGGCCTCAATCAATTTGTTTGGAAATTAAGTAACATCAATGAGCATGATTTAGTACAATATGCCAAAAAAAGATTTCTTGTGTAGGCACATTTTTCGACATACTGTAGGATATAATAATTAGTAAAAAGCTTGCTATTAAAAAACGTGATGGATAATTAAGGCCACACTTGTACTAATCTATCACTAAAGCTGCCGATGCATAGCTCACGGATGAATCGTTCATATTGCGACACTGGCTTGATTGGGCATATTTCAAAAATTTCAAACTGGCATTCTGACTACTGTCATTCCTGAGTAATTCTTGTATTGCCTACAACATGAATTATATATCAGTTTTCATAGTTTTCCAATAGTATGGGTTTCGAAGATATTCGTTTGTTTTGAAAGAATGCAAACCCACTATCTAGCAGAAGTAATGTTGAGATAACCAGGGATTTAAAAAAATGAGAAAAAAAAGCTGGAGTACTTTCCAAATCACTGATTATGAAGACATTTTATCGAAATCTGTGATATTAAATTTTTTCAGAATTAAACGAGGATTTTGAAAACTCCAGACACTTTGAAATCATTTTGATGTCACCTCATTGTACGCCACTGGTATGTTACATTTTAATAAGTGTTTTGAAGAATAGCCCCTTTCCTTCTCAAGTGGGATATTCATACTGTTCCAAACTGTAGAAAGTCTGATTCAAATTTTTCAAACTTCCACTTATTCCAATGTTGCAAGTGATGATATTTCTAGTTGAATAAACGACAAGTTTTGTTCACTATGTTGTTATGTTCTACATAAATACAAAATAAATTCACCAGATCTTGATTTCAATAACTCTGAGTCTCCATATCTTGTAACTGTTTGTCAAACAACACAACAATAATAATTGAACAAGAAATTTGTTCATTAAACAAAATCAAGACATTTCTCATTTCATTGGCAAACTATGGAAACTACTGTTTACTTGCTACATGGAGGATAGTGAGAAAAAGTCACTATAACTTGAGAACTATCAGACATAGAGAACACTGAAACAGATCGATGTGGAATCAAATTTTCCTTCATTTAGTTATGGGTACTTAGAATGCAGAGTCACGTCGAAGTTTTCTGTTCTGCCTGTTGCATGCGTTATCCCGCTTCGAATTCGTCTTGAACTTTCCCAAACGTTTTTGCAAATTTGACAACTTTCTAATAGTTTTTCCCCAATCATTATACCAAAAAAAATCAATTTTTTCTCTCTGTCAACAGGAATCCTTTACCATTAGACATTTTTCAGAGAACTTATAACCTCCAAAAGTTAAAAAATCCCAATACCTACTTCCTGTCTTTATCCTCCCTAGGTGCACACGATGTTCTTTGAACATAATGGGATTTTTCTTTTGTGCGCGCCAAGAGTTGAAAAAATGATATTGTAGAAGGTATTACCTGTAAAAGTATTCCTATAGGATGCCTGCCACATATAGTATTGCCAAATTTTTTAAGGTAAGTTGTAAATTCTGTGGGGTTCAAATTTTCAATGATACCCATACCCTGAAAAAAAAAAAAGTGTATTTGTATTAATTAGTCAAATACTCCAGTAAGGTTTCATATTGCACAAAAAAGCATTTCTGAACTAAATATATCCGTCAATAGTAACACTTTCTTGATCAAGGAAACAATGAACAAAGGAAGTTCATGGAGATATGGTCTTATTTTTGTTCTTGGGGAGTTTTCTTTTATTGTATTACTAAGTTCCTGGTTGAAATTTTTTATTGTGTCTTTGTTGATAACTTCATTGAGATTTATAGTTTGATAATGTGGTATTGACTTGTTCTAAGTTGCACTTGTTGATATTGATGCCTAGATCCGGGTGGATGGATATTTTTATTATGTTGTTCTCTATATTGCCGGAGAAGATAATCAGGTCTGGAGTGGAGTCTGGATTGTTTGGCATGATGAAGGTTGGAGGAGTTTCTGCCTTTTTTGAATGTAGAGTTGTTGAGGAAATCTTTAATTTGTTTGGTTTTTGCCCTATTAACGTTGAAGTTTCCAATTATAAGTGCTTATTTGTATGTGGCAGCTTATGTAGATAATGTGTTTTCTATTATTGAAATAGGATGAATATACATCAGAAATATATTTAGTTTATCTTCCAAAAAGGGAATAGTGAAGTGTGTTACTTCATTGAGAGAAACTGAAATATGGACCTATTGACACTATGACAGCACTTCTTCTCAATTCTAATTGATATCTTGTACTTCTAGTAGCTATGAACATGACAGCATAAGACAAGTCACTATTGATTAATAGCGACTATTAGAGTGAGTAGATTAAATAGAGTGACGACGATAGACCTCCAAATGGCTGCCGTTTCCGGAATGTCGTTCATGGTAGTCACTGAATAATTAAAAATCTGAAGGGTATCTCCCATGCAGTAATCAATTCGCGCCTTCAAAGTGCCCACCTGATGTTAGGTTCAGAAATTTGATAATTTCAATTCATCATCTAAATAATCTGAGACTTACTAGTCCCAAAAGACGGATTCCAAATATCCAAGATATTGAGGTATAGAATTTCATGTCTGATTGTAGGATGTTCTATGTCCAAAGAGCAAAAAACAGAGACAAAGCATTGACAAAGTGAAATAGAATGGATTTAACTGAATGGAGAAAACAAACAGGTGGATGCACTTCCATATCAGGTGTCCCTCAGGGCTCTCACTGTGGACCCTTGCTCTTCAATCTTTTTATAAATGACATTTCCGATGTAATCAACATTTTTCACACATTTTGCATAATTTCAATGCATTTAACATTGACCCATTCCAGTCTTTAGCCATATTTAAAAATAGAATCTGTAAAATTGATCCTAGGTTAATCAGTCACCATTAATTTAGTTGATACTTTTTTTTCTCTTCCCTTTATTCATTCTCTTTGGGCAGAATGTAATTTTTTAACTTAATGGCTGTAAATAGGAAATAGTTTCAACAAGATGTAGTGTTTAAAAAAAAAGTTAAATTTATTTTATTGTTGAATTTCATCTTTTGATGCTGTGATGTTATTGTCCTTATGCCATCTTTATTACATATAATTAATTCCTATTGTAAAGGTGAAACCGTTTATTAAATAAATAAATAATAAATAATATTAGAGGTGTACCACTATTGTCATCACTCTATCTACTATATTCTAGTGCCATTCCTGTGAATCTCCCATCAGAACAGTGAATTCTGGTTATTAATAACAGATGGGGCTGTCTTTATGAACAAGTAGTTCATAAAATGATGAAAGCTACCTTTTCATCTCTTCAATATGAATTCCATGTTCCATTCCTGAAATACAACTATCTCTATTATACTTAGGACTGAGATCATTCAATCATCTAGCACGTGAGGTCAACAATAATGTGAACTTGAATAATTTCAAATATAGGTTGAAACATCTCATTGAAAAATGTCCCTATACACTGGAGGAGTATTTTGCTCCAGGGGCGGCGAGTTTTGTTTTGTCCAATGGGTGCCAAAATTGAGGGGTCAGGGTAGGACAAAATTATGCGCCGCAGGCGAAAATTTTTCATGGTTCAAGGTCAAATGCCATCAAATTTCAAGATAGATCAGAGCATTATTTATTTTGCATCAAGTGTGAAACACCTCTACCAAAATATAATATTTTGTGACTAATCGTGTTTCGAGTTTATGGTTGATATATTAATATGAACAAGGATGAGAAATAGAAGAATTTTTTTTCACCATTGAAAAAAGTGAACATAACTCAAAATTTAAAACGATATTAGAAAATTCAATCTCTACAAAAATAAAATAAGATTTAATAATTCTCATATCTCAAAAAATGGAATAGAGAAACTTCGGGATTCGAAAAAATTAGCAAGTAACCCCAGTTAATTTATTGCAAAGGTATTCCTACTGACTGTATTATCAATGGATTCATTAGCCACTTCTATTTTTTTCCAAACTGGCACTTGTAACCTGTGATGTCATAATGTCTAAAATTTAAATCGGAATATCTGCACAGTGCACAGTGTCAAACCCTGGATGCACATGAATCGAATATACGGTTCGCATGGTTGTTTACCTATACTTGTCCAGCAACAATGTGCAATATTTACAAGTGCTCATTTCGCCCGTATCTAATTTGTTTTTTTATACGTCTGTTTCGGCCAATGGGTGCATTGCACCCATACCCACTGCCTACATGGGTGCATTGGCCCCGATGCCCCCATGCACTCGCCGCCCCTGTTTTGCTCCACATGTTCAGGGTTAGTGTTTTTATTTTATTCATGTTAGTACATCTCAATTCTCAACCACTTTATGTTCTTATAATTTTTGTATCTTACTCTTCATTGTATACCTTGGTGTATTGCTTTTTTAAATATTCTACAATATTTTCCATTTTTAATATCACCTCTGCCAGGTATATTTGAATATTTTTGTACTATTCCTATACATGTACATCATGTCCATTGGAAAATGAATATTATTATCATTAACTTCCTAGAGAAATCACATTTCATGCCTTGACAAGGAGTACATAATGGTAGGTTCTATACAGGGTGGCCCACTTATGCTCGCTCGGACCATAGCTGCTAGGTTGATAGAGATAGAAGAATAAATTTCATCGGAAGTTATTGGAGACTTCATAAGCTTCTCTTCAAAATTATTTTCTAGTATACAGGGTGCACCATGAATCCGAGGTGAAAGACTCGATTGTTTTTTTAAATGGCACACCCTGTATATTATTCCATTTTCGGAATCTCTCTCATGTGGGCTTCACAAACCTATTTTGTTTTTGAAGATCAGATGCGACGTTGTCAAGTTATTAATATTTTAATCAAATTTGACGAGAAAACATGAATGTTGAAAAATATTCAGGGAAACTATATTTTCGAAGATTTATGAACGAAACTGGGTATGCAGATACCGAAAGTATGTGTAGAAACTCAGACATTATTTGGGTTCACTCAAAATATACAGGGTGTTTTAAAATAAGGACCGAATTTCGCTATTTCCAAATCGCCGAAACTCATTTTTTTCAAATGGATCACCCTGTATATTATTTCATAATCTGAGCCCATCCAATGAGCTTTTTAGTGATACCATATAGACCGTATCCAATGATACTCTTCGATAGGTGAATAACGATAAATCAATTCAACTGTACATTTTTATTCAAAAAATGCTGAATACATTTTTGAGCTCGATGTTTAATCGAATTCCTTACTTTTGACAGCATTCCTGGTGTTATATTTGCAAAAGTTTCCCTTATTCTCATCTTCATGTTTTATTTCCTTGTTACTGGTTTCGAATACACTTTATCCTTAACATAGCCCCATAAGAAGAAATCGCAAGGGGTCAAGTCTGGCGACCTTGCAGGCCAGTGTATTGGACCTCCACTAGCAATCCACCTATCTTGAAAGCGCTCATTCAACCACTGGCGAACTGGTGCTACAAAATGTACTGATGCACCGTCTAGTTGAGACCACATATTATTCAACACATTTTGTGGTACAGGTTGAAGTATCGCTCCCAAATGATTTTCTAGAAAATCTAAAACTACTACTACATTTACCACACCATCAATAAAGTAGAGGCAGATGACGTAATTATCATTAATACCTCCCCAAACATTCGGAGACCATCCTTCTTGGGAAGTGGTTCTGAATTCGGATTTTGATCCGAATAATGATGATAGTTATGACGATTCACCGCCCCATTCTTGTGAAATGTAGATTCATCAATGTATCCAGCAGAATGGAAGACATTTTGAACATCTCATGAACTGATATGTTCCATGAGTTTGAGCACTTGTCATTGTCAGTTGAATTTTCTCTATGTTTGTTATTGTTTTTGAATAAAAATGTACAGTTGAATTGATTTATCGTTATTTACCTATCGAAGAGTATCGTTGGATACGGTCTATATGGTATCACCAAAAAGCTCATTGGATGGGCTTTCAGATTATGAAATAATATACAGGGTGATCCATTTGAAAAAAATGAGTTTCGGCGATTTGGAAATAGCGAAATTCGGTCCTTATTTTAAAACACCCTGTATATTTTGAGTGAACCCAAATAATGTCTGAGTTTCTACACATACTTTTAGTATCTGCATACCCAGTTTTGTTCATAAATCTCCGAAAATATAGTTTCCCTGAATATTTTTCAACATTCATGTTTACTCGTCAAATTTTAATAAAATGTTAATAACTCCACAACGTCGCATCTGATCTTCAAAAACAAAATAGGTTTGTGAAGCCCACATGAGAGAGATTCCAAAAATGGAATAATATACAGGGTGTGCCATTTAAAAAACGATCAATTCTTTCACCCCGGATTCATGGTGCACCCTGTATACTAGGAAATAATTTTGAAGAGTAGCTTATGGAGTCTCCAATAACTTCCGATGAGATTTTTTTTTCTATCTCTATCAGGCTAGCAGCTATGGTCCGAGCGAGCATAAGTGGGCCACCCTGTATATAGTGGTCAAAAAATGTATATACTGTTCAAAAATTCATACCTTGACTCGAGTCAGTAATTCACTATTTTGATCAGTTCAATTTGACTGAGTAATGAAGAACATTTGAATCTACACACAATAAGAAATACTGAAAATAAATACCCACCACATGATCTAATCCTTCAATTGACTGATAGATATTACCATAGGAGCGATCATAATAAGTATAGCGGAACCTGTGGCCCCAATGGCAAAAATCTGATGATATTACAAAGAGATTTTTTGGATCTGCTAAGTAACTAGATAAAATCCTTCCATAACAAGCCTCTCTCTCTGGACTGAGAGATCCCACAAGTATAGGAACAATAGTTAACTGATTTTTGAAACTAAAACAGTGGTAAGATTGTTTTTAGTCCCTAGAAAAAAAAGCGTTTTAAATGTTTCATCACTCACTTTTCCATAACTTTAGCTATGTAAGGTAGGTGCATTTCAATACTGTGCTCATTTTCATCAGTATCCAAATCCATCCACTCAAACTGACCTGTCATTTCTAATTCGCTATTGACTGGAAGAATAAAATGTCTGAATCTTATACCAAGAGTGAAAGGAAACTACTGATTGGATCAGAATTGCATATCCTGCTAACTCAATGAAATTGGCATGAACATCTGAACAGAATTATATTTCTTATGATGGCCAAATTGTGTACTATGCTATACCTTATCCAACAAGAAATTGGAAGTTTTCTTAGAAAGAAAATTTGTTTTGATGTCATTGAATATCCAATGAGTAGTTTCAGGGAAAATAATATAATTGCATACCCTGTGAATCTATATGGAGATCATAAAGAGGTGTTTTGTATTTTTGTGCACTAGACAAGGCACAACCTGATAGACGTACATGGTGAGAGGGTCCCAAAATAAATATTCGACGAACAACAATAGGGCTTATTTGTCTGTAAGCGTGCCCCCCACATGCTCCACAGTACTGGTAACCTGCATGCCTGAAAAAATCAAATTTAATTACAGACCTCAATTTTTGGAAAAGAAACACTCACGGAGCGATAATTGCTCTAGCAGGCCCATGACTCAACTCAGCTTGATTTAGCCAATAGTCCAACTGCTTGGACAATTCAGCTCCTGAAAATTAAACAAAAGAAAATAGGTTCAATGACATCAAAGAAAGAACTTAAGACAACCTCATCTCAATACATTTAACACTAAACAGCTGATCAATGTTTGCTACTTTACCCGAATCGGTGTACCAACTTCCCGCATGTAGAGCTCTTCTCACAGACATTTTTTCAGTCTTTGAATTAGAAAAGACCTATACTATAAATTGGAATACTAAAAAATAAATAATTATTAGATTTAGATGAAAAGTCAACAGTCAAGTCAACTACTCTGACACTCTGACTATTCAAATTCATCATTCATCAAATCAACTTCAAAATCATAAACAGAATAACCATTAGAGATGGGTATCGAATTATCGATGGGCCGATATTTAGACTAAGAAAATATCGATATTAGAATTGATGTCGATAGTCAAGTCAACTACTCTGACACTCTGACTATTCAAATTCATCATTCATCAAATCAACTTCAAAATCATAAACAGAATAACCATTAGAGATGGGTATCGAATTATCGATGGGCCGATATTTAGACTAAGAAAATATCGATATTAGAATTGATGTCGATCGATATTTTCTCTTCTGTAGGTGCGTTCGGTTTAACAAAATCAGAGCCGAGCGAGCAGATGCAAATTTGGTGTCACGTGATCACCTAGCAGATAGAGCTAAAGATATTTAACGAACGCTCAAGGAGTTAGTAGATTGCGAGTGCCAGCTGTCAGAAGTAACAGAAAACAGAAACAATTCACTTAACCTTATTACTTTTAAAAACACGTCAGGGCAACAAAGTTCTTTTGAATGTTTGTTGTTTATATTTTGAAAATTACTAGGGAAGGAATGATTCTGTCTCATATGATCGGTCATTAACTGTGGATCCAGGGCAGTTGTGATCGCATATATTACAGATATATAATTAATATGCTAGCTACAGCAAATTCGTCGGTCATTCTGGCGATTCTGTGCAAGGAGGATTCTACAAAATTCAGTTTCGTGTTTCGTTTCTAGTTGATCGAGTCTTCAATTTTTCGACATAAAAAAGATATAATTTCAATAACATGTTGCTGACATTGATTTGTTGACAACTGACAACCGAATAACCGATCAAATCTGAATAATCTGCTCCTCAAGGCGGAGCAAACAGATTACATCTTTCAGCTCGCTCTGACAATTAACGAACACGGAGCAGATTAGACAGAGGAAGTAGATCTGATTTATCGAACGCTTTCCGAGCTAACAGATGGAATCGAGCTAATAGATATGTTATAACCGAACGCACCTTGTATCGCTCGTGTTTAGTTTTTCAGTGTGAATATGACATTTGTGTCAGACGTTGGAGTTTCCTCATCAATTGTATGCTTCTCAAGAACTTATCACGCAATTCTTGATTCAACAAAGAAAAAAGCCAAATGAAACGAAAATAAATAGAAATAATTAAGTATTCCTGTCAATTCTACCAACTTTGGCGTAGACCTCACGTCTTAGAGTAGCGCGATCTGGTTGAAGTGATGTCATGAACTTTAACGTGAACAAATTGACAGGTACGCATGCGCATTTATTAATTCTTTATGTTCGCGCTCGCGTTGGTACCTTAAATATCAACGTACGTTAACCAAACTATACTCGAAATATTATACAGATGAGTCCAAATCATCAAATTTGGGATCCCCAAGGAGTTCTGCATCAAGAAGTCCTGTCACAACCAAAAAGACCAATACAAACCGAAAACAAAATATTTATATTGTTACGTTACGATGAGTGATGACCAAAGTGACGACTTCAACCCAATTCAAAGACAATACGTAAACGTTATTTTTCGTACCTTAACGTCTACGTACAGTGATTAGTTCAACTCTCTAATCAAATATGTAAGGCCTCATTGGAAGTGTATAAGAGGGTCTATGAGAAATTTGTATAAACGTTCAGTCATAAAATAGGTATTGATACTCAATGTCAATGATCCAGATGTATAGAAATCCAACCTATACATCTCTCTAGGCATATTACCCAAGGATTACTACTGAAAAAATAAATCGCGTTGAGCACACAATTCACATATCGGCACATTGGCATGCTTCAAAATTTTTCATTCCCTCTTTGCTGATTCTATCGAAGAAATAAGTGGGATGGAGAAAAGCAACACACTGAAGGAAAGGAACGCCACTAATATAAAGAAGGAAGAAATATGATTGAAACTATATGACCCTGTCTCAAGACACAAGTTTAGTGATGGGCAGAATCATATCAAAGAGGTGACTAACCTATATTCTTTGATCGTATATCTACTACTTTAAATATATAGGCAGAATCGAGTGTTTTCCAGAATCGAATACATGGTATTCGGATATTCCCCAGAATCGAATACTCTTCCGAGTACTCAGTATTCGAGTACAAAAAATTAACGACGACCTATCAAGTTACAACCTATCTCTACAATTTATATCAGAAACAATTATAATAATACCAAATATCAATTCAAATACCGAAAAACGTTACCGCGGCTTACTGACTTTCATCAGTTAACTAGAACCTGCATGTGCTGCAACTCAACTGCGTTTTGCTCTTTCGGATTAGGTATCTACGTTCGCGTTTGCTCAACCTGCTGAACTTGATAATTTTTTATTACCATCCCTGTTTATATAGTATGCTATGAACAGAAATAACCATAGAAAAAAAGCTTGTGAAATGAAAACTCATCAACTTTAGTAAGTTGAGCAACACTATATGAACAGACATCTTTACAGTTTTTGTGTTCCGTTTCCAATTTCCTTTCGGGCGTTCGAATTCGAATAATTTGATTGAATAGAAAATAGACGAGGACGAGAACTAACGGGAGACTGAGAGATACGACGGTCGACAACACAAAACCCGACGTAATCGCGATACGATATGAACACGATACGAGTTCGAGTACGCACGTCACAATCGTCACATGCTCCTTCCATCGCAGTTGCGATAGTGGTAGCGAATGCGATTCGTGGTTGCGATACTGGCCAGTACAGGCATGTAGAGGGATGTTGGCTTCATTCAAGTATCTCCTCAGAAGTTTCAGGTCTATTTCCGCAGTTAAGAATAGATCTAGATAATTTGCTGTAAGCAAAACAAACTAGGAACAACATTATTATTTAATTCATTTTATGGAAGAAATTCTGATTTTGAATAATTATTCCGTAAAAACTTCAGAAACCAAAACAAAACCTATTAAACACAATTATTGGCTTCAAAATTGCGTTTTTTGATTTTGATGTCACACAAACGGAACTATTATCCGTCAGAATTGAACTTCTACAGTCGACCGAGACGTTCATGTAGAGGTATACTCATCGACATCGAGAGGCACGACAAATAATCCGTGTTATCCGTGTGGTAAGGATCATCCTGTTTTGTACATATATTCGCAGGAACCATAATGCAGTGAGGTGCTTGCCTGATAGGCCAAAGGTATCGGGTTCGAATTCCAGAACCCCACCTATTTTTTTACAAAGTAATAAATTTGAAAAAATACTGTGGAGGCATTAGCTGATCGGGATGATAGTGATTCGTTATTTCAATGATGTTGTTTTTTCGAAATTTTCAAGTATTGCTTCCGCCTGGATTATTTGTTGCACCCTGTCTCTTTTGAGCAGCAAATGAGCAGTTCAGTTTAGCGTTGAGAGTCGTGGTCTTCTTCTCCAGTGTTGCCAACATAAGATTTTTATTATTCCATGTTGAAACACTGAAGACAAGAGCAGATGGGAAAGACATGTTTGTTTTCTCTCAACGCTAGCTGAACTGATCTAAGTACATTTGAATTCGCGCCATGAAGAGCACTAGAGATAGAACTGGGATCAAATCCTCATACAATCAATTTCATTTTATTTTTCCCAGTGTGTTCATTTTCGCAAAGCTGATAGTGATTCGCTATTTCTATGGAATATTTCCCTAGGATCCCACATCTTTTGACCTGCTCCATACAGTCCAGTCAAAACGATATTCTCATCTGATCTGAAAAAGTCGATTTTTCAGATCGATTCAACTATATTTCAATTTCCAGGTGAATCTTTTGTTGCATAGAAAAGCAGAAAGCAGAGAAAGAAGTCAGATGAAAAGCATTTTCATATGGAAACATTAGATTTTTTCTTTCTATATAGGTATTGATTTTCTTTCATTTCGAACTATATACATGAAATATTTCAATTGAACTGAATCAGTTAACATGCATTCTATCGACTCAAAGTCTTTGGAAAAGAATCAGTTCAGTTCAAGTGAAATATTCCAGTTAGTTCAGAACACTTCGCTCCACCTGACGGCAACAGCTTGAACACTTCTGAGCTGTTTGTTTTGATGATCTGACCAATAATCACAAACAGAAAACAAATGTGAACCAATGAAAACAAAGTAAACATGACGCTTTGACGTTGCGTACGCTTTTTTTCTTACGCGAATATCACCATCATCAATTATCATTAATGCAGCGGCAGCCATCAGCGCCAGCGACAGCGATAGCCTCCTGCCGCGATCCAGCTGTTGTCAATCTTGTATCTTGGTTGCCAATAATCCTTGGCTGCATCTATTAGTAAGTTTACGTACGAATAATATGCTAAAATCCTATTCGTACGTTTACGTTCGAATAGGTTTCGAGGTACGTATGCGTACGTATAATATGCCAATGCCTATCTGCACGTTTACGTACGAATATGGCTAGCAGTACCTATACGTACGTATAAGTACGTGTAGTGTATTGTTTGCCTATCCGCACGTTTACGTACGAATATGACTGGCAGTAACTACGTGTAGTGTATTTTTTGCTCATCCGCAATTTTACGTAAACGTTTTAATTTTAGAAAAATATATCATTTGTTATCGAAATTATCTTTCACTTTCATGAACATGTTCGAATATATTCACCAACTCAAACATTCTTTACATCTACTCATGCAAAATTTGATGAATATGATATGTAATTCATTATGCTTAGTGAAATTTCTCAGGAAACTATGTTCAACATTGTTTAGGCAATGTACTGTGGTATATGGTTCACTTTTATATCAGGTGCTATTTTCAAATTCAAATTTGATCGATTGTTTTGTCGATCACATTGATCTGAATAAATGTAGGAACTTCTTCCTATGAATGTAAGAACTTCTTCCTATATTTCTAGCACATTTTCCTCTGTACCTAACTCATTGTGATATAACTTATTTTCAAATTGCATGTGTTTATCATTATATGTTGTACGTATTCTAAATTTGAATTTGATATAATTACATGCATCATATATACGTGATTGATCACAGTAATCAATATTTTACAAAGCGTTACGTACAATTAGCATTCTTGGTAATTATTCGCACGTGGGCGTACGAATGAAGTATCTTTACCTATGCGCACGCAATGCACACATTCGGATGTATACGTGCGGATAGGCTTTGGCATATTTATACGTACGTATACGTACGGATAGGCTTTGACATTATTACACGAACGAATTCGTACAGATAGGCTTTTGCATATCTATCCGTAAGTATACGTACGGATGATATGTCAAAGCCTATCTGTACGTATACGTACGTATAATTATGTCAAAGCCTATCCGTACGTATACGTGCGGATAGATATGGGAAAGCCTATCCGTACGCAAATATAGTTGTCAATTTACGTACGGATAGCATTCTTGGTGGTTATTCGCACGTAAACGTACGGATAAAGTGCCATATCACTATTTGTACGTATTTGTACGTATGCACGCACTGCGTACGAATAGACACTTCCATAATCCTTCCATCATAATGTCAGACTTCCATCATTATAATGTCCAATGTCAACATTGTCATTTGACATAAATATTTGAGGTTGAGGTTCTTTTATTATTTTTTTGTTTGATTTTCTGATTTTCAGTTCCTTTCCACTTGTAGATTATATGTTTATATACAGCAAAACATCATAGTGAACAACTTTATTTCAACGTAAATTCCGCAACTATGTCATCGCCGCATGGAAATTTGAATGAAGAATTGACCACGGATGCTCTTCCCAGCCCAAGTCGTTCAATGAACGAGAAAAATATTCGTAATGAACGTGATCAATATCAAGACTCTAGTGACAAAAGTTCTCAGGTTGAGGAGGAGATTAACACTAATAGTAATAATGAATATGGGAGAAAATTGAAGAAGAATAATATCAGGAAGATAAGCCCTGCAACTACAGGTTAGTGCCTTTCATAAAGCAAGTGTATAGACTGCCAACCACAGTCAGCAGACTATAGTTTTTCTCTATACTGTCCACAATTCAGTGAAATACATTCTTTTTATAAATAAACAACAGTTTGTTTATGTTTTATTCTGTATAACAATAGGTCTGTTCATTTGTGTTGCTGAATTTTGTTTTATGATTCTTAATTCCAGCCTCTGCAGTGATAATAAATGTAAACAATTCTAAATCTGTTCATGTTGGTGATACCCATGTCCACAATTATAATGGATTAGAAAAACAAAAAAAGACTGAAATAATTGAGACTGCTGCTATAAGATCCTTGAAAATGAATGCAAAACTATTGACTAGAGATGACTTGTTGTTTGTGGCGTCTCACATAGATTCTTCATGGAAAGATGTTGCCAGAGACTTACATTTTTCAGAAGGGCAAATTTCACAATTCATTAGTGATCATCATCAGTCAGGAACTAAGGAGGTGAGTTCAATAAGTTTTCATTTATTTAGATACCATATTATATGTCTTTTGGTATTTTCTTCAAATTTGCCATTCATCACTGGGAAACCATAATAATTACATCTTGGATTATGGATAATTTTCAGGAGTAATATTTGATAAATGTAGAATTTGAGGTTTTGTGCCATATTGGATACTCAAAATTTTACAAAAAAATCATTTTTGATGACACTTTACAGTCTATTGGGCATACAATGAAGACTTTGATTTTAGTGCTACATATTTGAAAAGAATACTGAAGAATACAACTTAAAATACAGTTGCCCCCATCACATGAGAATGAATATTGTTTTTAAATGAAATGCCCTTTATATGATGAAGTTTCTTTGTGATTTTTTTCTAGATTCAAATATATCAGGATTACTTATAGGTCTAGCTAATAAACTTTTCAAGATATTGGGCTTTTAAGATGCTCAAAATATGCTAGGGTAGATGATATAAGACAACATTTTGTCTTTGATTATGTTAAATAGATATATAGATAGATAGATTTTATTGAAGTTTTCAATTTAGGACAGTTTGTTGAAAACCTCAAGTCATAGGTAAGTACTAATATAAATTACAAACAAAGATGACATCAAAAGTATCTAAAACTTAACCAGCTAAAACAAAATGAGATAAAATTTCAGTAATATCACAAAATGTAAATATGACAGACAAACAGAAACACATAATCATAAAAATCACATGCTACAAATTATAACTCCAAGAATTTCTGTAATAAATAAGGTTCAGTGTTACATAATAGATCAAAAACTTGTTTTTGATTTTTCTTTGTATAATCATCACTGATCTTCTCATGTTTTTGGTTGTAAAATTCAACAGCAGCATAGTGATTTCCTTTCTGATGCTTGGGAATAATGAAATTAAATTTTTGCCTGGTGGGATACACCTGTTTTTGAGTGTCAATTTTGAATTCTGATTCATTATCATTTACAAAAAGTACACATACATAGATGTAGATGGCATATATGGTGAGCATTTTGTGACATTTGAGAATACCACAACAGGAGTCTGAGTATTTCATGTTCAACATTGTTTTCATAATTCTTTTTTGCATGATGATTTTTAGAAGTAACTTATTATTATTGAAATATGTGGATACTGTTACAAGATGTAATAAATATAAAACTAACAAAAGTCAAACAATAACCATAATGAAAAACAATGTTGTCAAAAGTAGATGATCAGCCAAAGTCTACTACACTTTTGATAGCAACAGTCTTCAAAATATTTTCAAAGGAGGAGTGAATCTTTGCCTATATTATAAGTATGAATAAAAATAATAAAAAGAATGAGACCACATAATTATGAGACTGAAATATTGTTTTTAGTCACCTGATTGAAAAACATTTTTTCAGGTACCAGGCTGAAAAATTATGTTGTATTTTCAGACTAGAAAGTACTCCTCTACAGTACTTGTCCTGTAATTTTTTTTTGAGATGACTATTAATCACAGAATCAATCATTTAGGTCTTGACTCATCATATGCTGTACCTGAGAAATCAATTTTTGCTACCTATAGCAATGATCAGGTTTTGCTCCTACTAGTAAATATTTGATTTCCATACAGGATTTTTCATTGGTAAATAAAAATAAGTCTACAAGATAGAGGTCAGCCAGGTGATTCTGAATATACAATTGATTTCACTATGTCTGTCTTATAACCAACATATAGGGTGATTTTTGAATTCTTTTGAAGGGTCATAAATGGCAGACTTGGGTCGAATACTGAAATCCGGTATTGGAATACGAATCCTGAATACTGTACTCTAAATTGTATTCGAATACTTGAGATTCGAATACAAAGAAAAAAAAGTATTTGAATACCCCTGTATTCGAATACCTGGATTCATTCACATATGAATATTTTATGAATATTTCAACTGAAGAAAAAAACATTTGCGCACATAAAGCTCGTTTATATTTATGTATGTAGTTAATTTATAGAAATACATGAAAAAATAGAAAATCTATATTGAATAAAACTAGATAAATAATTTTTTGATACAAAGTGTCACAATGAGGTTGAATAAAAAACGTTTATTAATTTTTATTTCTTAGTTTTATTTGAAAAATCTCAAAATAAAACGATATTCAATTATTAAATGAAACTTAAAATAAAGTACTTTGGTACATTGGATAATAGTAAGGTAACACAAAATAACTGTTTAGCAAAATAATAATGGAAAATAATCTATAAATCTAAATAATAAATAATGCTCAAAATAAAATTCATTTCAAATAAAACATAGGAACTAATAAAATATATAGGAATCTCATAAAAACAGACTAGTACAGAAAAAAAACATCCATCAAAAAGAAACATAAAGATTAACAATTTCCTATCCCGTTCGCCTTTAACAAAACCAACATTTCAAAAAGGTCGTCACTTAAATTCTGACGCTTTGGCGTATTTACCATACCCGCAAAAGAAAACAGTCGTTCTACTGGAGCAGACGACGGTAATATAGAGTTATATCTTAAAAATATTCGCTTAATTGATGGGTAATCATTAAGCATTTCCAAACCTAATCTTTTGTCTTCAAGATATTGCAAAAGTTTGAGTTGAATTTTTCCTTTTATTTTATCCCTATTATCCCGAGAAATTAAATCGCTATTTTTTTCCGGATTTTCCTCTCTTTCAAATTCGAAAAAATTAATATCATTATTGGGCGTTGATCCTTCTCCATCGAAATCTGGTTTTTGAATATCTATTTGGAGTTCCACACCAGCATCAATTATAATATTTTTTAATTCCTCAATGTCTAATCCAAACTGTGATGATACGGTTTGTTATAGCCACCTAAATTTAATAGTTGGACAAGTTACTGCAGCAATTATTGCATCTTTTGCTTCGCTTTTTGTAAGGTCAAAGTACTGCTCAAATCTAGTATTGGCGCGATTAATGATGTGTTCTAAAATTAGACTGGTACTTCTATTAAGAGTCATGCTTGATTTGACTCTAATCATTTTTGTTTTTAAAGAAGTTATACTTGGTATTAAATAACCAAAATATGTGTGAGTGTCTCCTTGTGAAAAATCTACTGTTTCAGCAATTGGTTTCAAAATACAACAGTATTCTTGCAGATAAAGAAGATCTGCATCTTTAAGATTTTCTTTAAGGTTTAATTCTTTATATAGTTTGGTAAGGTTCTCTTTGGAAATAGACAATATTTGAGAAATTGAATTATAAAACGAGTTCCAGCGAGTGACAGTTGGGTAACTTGAAGTATGACCAAGTATCTTTTGAAGCACTTCTGCACTCTTGGGTCTACCAGCGCATTTCCAAAGCTCGTTGCACTTATTTAAAATAGTTGTATGTCGGGATCTCAAAGAAATGTTAGAGTTCAAGACGGAGTTTACATCAGTCGTTGCCAAAAGATTAAGCGTATGACTAGCGCATCTAAGGTGCCTTGGCAAAATTATGTCGCCATTTTCAACGTCCGTAGAGGTACTTTCTGCAATTGGGTTGAAAAAAAGTTCATCGTCCTCTCCATCATCCACGTTGCTTTCCTCCTGCGTTTCCTCCGAAATGTCAATTGGCTCGAGATCTTTAAGTTTTATACCAAACTCTTTAAATGACTTTACAAAGTTACTACCGTTATCAGTTATTGTCGCAACATTCTTTGAAACATCTAAATCAAATTTTCCAAAAATATTGTGCAGTTTCTCAGCAATTCGGTCAAAAGTATGAGAACCAGAAAACCGTTCACAAGCTAATGCAACAGATTTTCTCTCAAATGAATTTTTATCAATCCAGTGGCAGGTTACTCCAATAAAGCTGCGTTTTTTAGTAGACCATGCGTCTGCAGTAGTGCAGACAAACTCACATGTTTTCAAAACGGACCTAATATTGGATTCCTTCTCATTATAGTATTGTTTAACCTTTTTAACAAATGTCTTCCTTGACATAATGTTTACATTAAAGTCTGAGAAGAAGTTCTTGAAACTTTCATTTTCAATAATATTTATAGGTGATAGGGTATCTGCAACAAATCTTATTAACTTGGTATCAAACTGTGATTGGTTAAATTTTTTTGCTAGAGGATTAACTACTTCCGATATTTTTGATTGTATGAGTTTCCCTGAACCACATGTCGTTTTCGTGGGTAAATCTGGGCGTTTAGCTTTATGTAAATTATATTTTTCTACCGCTCCTGTGTGTTTCTTTTTGAGGTGTTTGACAAAATTCGATGAACTGTTTGTAGGTCCACGGATTAAAGTTATGGTAGGAAGACATATTGCACATTTGGCAACTAAAACAGAGTTTTTTTATACTTTCTGGAAGAAAGAAAATTTCGTCGAATAATGGCTTTTGTCTGAGTTGCAGAAGGTTGTTCTCTGGTTTCTCGGCTGTTTCAGACATGCTCTGAGATTCTTGAGTACTGAAACAAAATTATTTTAATTACAACATCTATGTCTGTATGTACAGGGTGTCGCATTATATTTTCCTAAGTGGACTTTGAAGAAAAAAAACTCGATTTCTATAAATATCATTTTTTCGAAAACTATGACGGGTAACAACTAGCAGGTATAGGTGTATAACATGATTGCTACATAATTTGAAACAAAAAAATTCCAAAGGATTGAAAAATATACGGGGTATACCTTGAAAAAAAGTCCACCTGCCAAAATAATTTATTCTTAAGGTTCAGGAAACATACCTACTACAATACTGCTTGCTCAAACGTTAATTATGGACCAATAATAACATAAATATCCGTCTAGTAGAATATAATGGCGAGTTGGCGACCCTGTACTGGTTGTTTCACTCCTAACCATTGGTATCTCTCAAACCCTAAGAGCTTCATACAAAACTTCACTAGAAAAGACATGTATCGACATTTATCAAATATTTTTTTGAGGTAGTCACAATGTTGAAATTTTGCAATCCCGATATAAATCAGTCAATGATATTGACGAAGTTAAACTTCGTGAAAATTCTGTGAAAATCATTTTTGATTCATTGTATTTTCAAGATACTACCCACTGAAACTAGATCTCGGAGTTATTAATGTAAAATAATTGTTTTTCTGTGTATTGTGTATTCATATTCAATTCATCAAAGTTTCTACCTTGAAAATGAAGCCGAGGGACTTGAGGGAGTTGGTTCTCGTTGACGTCGAACATGACCTGTTTTTAGATACTTTTCATCTACTGATGATGTATTTTGCTTTTTTCCTGATAAAGCACGGATATTAAAATAGTCAGGAACTAGCAGCCTCCGTCTTTTTGCACACTCTTGCTCATAATCCGAATCGGACGAACCTCCAACAAACGGTTCTTCTGGATCTGAACCGTCAGAAATGGTTTCCTAGGAATCCTGAGAAACGATATCCCTCTCCATCGATAATCTGCACCTGCAAAATGATGAAATTCTACTACTCTCAACCCCAAGCGAGGATAAGAATCACCCCAAAATACTGAAATAATTGGGATTTTAACAGGTTTCTAGGCTCCTGCAAATGGCTCTGTTTCGTTTTTGGTTGGGTTGGCCACCTTGTTTATGAATCTTACACATAATGTACCTACACAATACTCCTACATAATTAAAAAATAAACTTACCTTTTGGCTTTTATACGTTCTATTACTGGTATTACACACAAATTATATGAGGTATTGAAATTTATTATAAACTAGAATAACAATACTCACAAGTGCACACATTCACGTACCTAATCTAATTTTCTGAACTCCTCAAGCCACCTGTCTCATCTCACGTTTTCGTAGTGACTTAATTCAACCCAATCATCGGCATCGCGAATCCAGAAGCACCACCATCCACAACCACCGAGAACGTGTTCATACGTGTTTGAACACGCTCTCGCACACGCAAGTTGCGTCAAGCCGGAGCCGTGGCAATATATGATCGACCAATAATATATCGCGACGACGCGACGGCTCCGTAACGCAATATTCATAGAAATAATCGAAAAGTATCCGAAAACAGGATTCGAATACCGGGATTCGAATACAGGATTCGAATACCGGGATTCGAATACAAAGTGGGTATTTGACTACTGGGATTCAAAAACGGTATTCAGAATCCAGAATACCGAGTACTGACCAAAAAAGTAATCAGTCGAATACCGAATACCAAATACACAAGGCTGGTATTCGAATAGTATTCGAATACCAGCCAAATGTATTCTGAATAGGATTCAGAATACTGGGTATTCGAATACTACACAAGTCTGATAAACGGTCATAACTAACGAACCACCCAGTAAATTCTGATATTTAGTAAATTTTTTTTTTCAAGTACCCAAGAGACCAACGTACTAACCTGTAAAGGAATCCAGGTCTGGATATACAAATTCAATAAATCATTGTGTGATTAAAACACCCTGTATTATCAAATGTTCATAGTTTGTTTTCAAATTTGAAAAGAGCATAGAACATAATATAATCAAACAGTGTTTTTATTTTCCTACATTCAATTTGTCTACCTACATTTTGAACATTCATGAGTTTTTTCAGTTTTTTTTTTAATATTTCTAAAATAGTTCAACATGCTCATTTTCATTTTATTGAATACCTATTGCCTGCATTCTTAGGCCTCTTCAATACAACACTTCAATAGGTTTCTACAGGTCCGTACTCAACCTTTCTAAACATAGTTTCAGAGGATTGTACCATAAATTTTACTCGATAATGAGAAAGTTTCAAGATTTTTTGAATGTTTCTTTATGAGAAAATAACTGCTTTAACTTAGTATAATGCAGTCTGATTTACTTTCTACTATAATTCATGAAACGAAGACCTTATCAAAATAGTAATAATGAAAAGTGCAATTGAAACCAGAAAATGAGTAGGAAATATTCACATACTAGTTGAATAATTCAGTATGGAATATATCCAAAATATGCAATTTCAGTTACATCCAAAGAAAAAATGCATTAAGGTTTAAGAATTCCCATAGTGAAATTTCATGCCGGGAAATTAGGACAGAAGTTTGATTCTGAGTTCTGTGCTATTTTCATATTTTAAAGTGATTAATTCCATAATGCAGGGTGATGTTTTGATCATGCAACGGTTAATTGAGTTTTTTTTAATGCAAACCTGGACTTTTCTACTGACTAGAGTATGTTATGGTTGCTTGGGGCATGAGAAGGAGATTATGTGTAATGAATATCAGAAAAGTATACTCCTTCGTTATGGCCTCTTATGGAAATGAGCAAAAAAAAAATAAAAAACACCCTATACCTATCTTGGTTATGAAGAAACCATTGGTGAAATGAATGGACTATTTAGAATCACCTTGGTGAACTCCATCTACTGTTAACTCATTTCACACCTTGGTATATAGAATATGTTCATTCTTATTAGATAAGTCACTCATCATCTGACATCTCTAAATGACTTCCAATTACTATTCATAAACCACGGAGCAGAATACTATTCTTGCCTTGCCATTACTTATTTTCCTCATCTCGGTGAAAAGTCACTATATTCCACTATTAGCTTCAGGACACACCATTATATATTTTGTGGTATGAACCTGAGAAAACAAGTAAATTCGCTCCTACTGGTAGTTGGGAGATACTGAAAACAAAACAACTAGTATGAGAGATAATCGCTGTTTTATTGCTCCTATTGACGTGTACATCCATCTGTTGTATGGCCGCTGTTGCGAGTACTAATAAATATATTTGTATTTGTATTTGTATTTGTATTTTTGTATTGAGTTTTGCATAGATACTGACTATCACTGTTTTATTGAGATGATATGTGCAACCATAAAACAGCAATTCTGCCTGAGTAAATCCTGCCGCGTATACCTCAAAAGATGAAGAAGTGCAGTCAGCACATCCTTTCGTTGTCAATCTCAAAATATGTCGAACAGCGCTTCATCAAAACTTGTTTCATTATATAACGGCAAAGCTCTGGAATTCATTTCGTGAGGAAGTATTTCCAAGAACTTATAATCCCCAAAAGTTCCTTTCCCTATCCTCCCTAGGTACGCACCTCGGTACGCACTTTGTTCTTCGAACATTATAGGGATTCCCTTTCGTGCGCACCAAGCGATAAAAAAGGCCCTTACACAAATTTTGAAGGTGTCGCTGTTAGGTACTGTGCTCGTTAAAAATATGAATGTGAGAAATTGTCGGTCCTTCGGGGCCCCCTGAGAATGAGGCCCTGGGCACGGGCCTTGTGTGCCCTTATTGTAAAGACGGAATTGGGGACACCCGGTATATTATGTTTCCTGTTTCCTATGCTTTATGTTGTTGAGTAGGATGATATTTCAGAACTTTATAAATATGTGGCTATAATCCAAATGACATCAGTTATCCTCAGAAAAAATTTAAATTCTATCATTGATTTTTTTATACAAAAATAGTAATGATAATGTAGTTCATGGTAGAATCAGTTCGCTTTCAGTATTATGTCATTTTGCATTCTTGCATTCATATATTATATTTATATTATAACTATAACATGGATTTCACTTTCATGTGTAACACCCTATAATGTAATTTCAATGCGATATTGTATTTTCCTAGTTTAACTGTATCAAAACATTGAGATATGTATATCCACATCTTCAACATGTTACATTAAGGTTTCCCTGCAAACTATTTGAACTTTATGTTCTAGGTAAGTTTATTACTGAAATAAATATTGAAAGATATTTAAACTCAACCTTGCCGCGTCACTGGTAAGGGAAGTTTTTTGTCGGGAACTACACCCATTACGTTTTGAGCTAAATCAGATATCAAATGTCTTGATGTCTTACATCTGAAGAACCAAACCTGTAGACAACGATATAACAAGTATTTATGTGCTGAATGAGGTATTGAATTATATGTCTTAGGTTTTTTATACTACTTACATCAGTATCTATTATTTACCTATTTAGTTATAGTCTGCAAAGCCCTACTAGGCTGGATTGGTTTCTCAGGATTGTCTTTCCTCAGTTGCACATATTAACTGGATAAAACATTGATAATCTCCACACATAATTTGATATGGTTCAGGTAATGAAACAACGTCCGTCTCCAATACTAACATCATCTGTTCACTCTGAAATGATCTGAATTTTATTCTTATTTGAAATGCTCAACTGACAGCTCTGAGCCAGTTTTGTTCGACTAGTTGCTCACAATATGCAGTAGCCCTACATGTTTGTGATGTAAAATATAGCTATATATTTTTCAGGTGATCTTCCAGGTATTATTGGACTGGTATCAGAATACACCTGATGAAGCAACAGTTAGTAACTTGAGTACTATTTTGTGGAAAAACAATCAAAAAGATGTTGTTAAGAGGTGGTCCTTGAAAAAACAATGATTTCTTATATTGGTTGTTATTGAGATTTATTATTTTTAAAACTTGTCATCACCACAACATATTCCATCTAATAATCCTCATTCTTTAGAGGCAACCAATCTTCTAAGATCCTTGCACAGTCTTGATGCCTTCAATGATCTGCCTTTTGGGACTATATCTCAGATTCTAAATATTTCACATTTCCCTCCAGAATAAATGGTGAAAATTTATGAGGAATACTTGTTCTACATTCAGTAGTACCAAATTTACTCTCAGACATTTTTTCATTTATTAAGACCACGATGTTCTGTGTATAGTGTATTCAAAGTCAATTGGAGCAGCTCGAGCAAAAAACGTAGGTTGTGAGCTGTTAGTTCCTTTGAATTTCGTTTGAAACCCGTGGACGTGGCAGACATTCCATGCTCCAGGCGCTCCAAATGACTGGTTTATGAAACGGTTGAGTAGTGGTCATGATGATTTTTTTGCTCATTAATAATATTTAGTGATCTAGCTGATGTACCCTGAATAATAATTTTAATAATGATAACTTTATTTTATTGTATATTCAATGCTACGATAATCAAAGGTTATCACATACGTCATATTGGCTATAATGTAGGCAATTGTGAGGAAAAATTAATCAAGTTCTCAATCATGTGCTGAATTGGTGATTAGTTGATCTGGTACCAAACAAGTCGTTTAATATTTCAATCAACGACGATATTCCGCTTCAATCTTTTGAATCTTGTTGATTGAAACTTGACTGCATTTTTCATTTGACGAAGTATTACAACGTAAGGAGTCGTTAGTTATCAATTTCAGACTGTATTTGTTAAACAGCATTATAGGAATACCAAATTCATATTTGAACAATAGTATGTATCAAACGGAAAAAGAAAAGCTCAAAGTCATCCCCACACAGTAACATAATGTTTTTAAACGATTAGGGGCATGTTTCGGATTTATAAGAGTCCATCTTCACCCTATGTTGAAGGTACTACAAAGAAAAACGAGGGATGGCTAGATACAATAAGAAATGAGTTAGTGGAGTTGAAAAATATATTGTCCAAAAGTAGTACACCAAGGATCATGGTCGAATTGGAATTCGTGTCATATGATGAGAATTAACGTCGAGTTCTCAGTAAAGAAGAGCCCTGTGATCGATATTTTGATTTTTACATGTTAAACGCTCTCGGGGCACGGGGCCCTTCATTACTGAGATCCCGACGTTATTCTCATCATATGAGACAAATTTGGATTCGACCATGATCCTTGGTGTACTACTTTAGGACAATAACTTTTTCAACCCCCTTCAAGAATTCATTTCTTATTGTTGCAAAGTCAGTTGAAACATATCATTGAAAGGGAATGTCGGGCCGCGCTGCCGCTCTCTTTGAACTTTCAAAGGTACCGGCGGCTTCCGGTTGATATGTTGTTCCAACTTTGCATAGACTTTACCAATCGAGAACTTTTTCATCTCAATTTTCATCTCCATACCGCAGTTCACTTCTAATTTCTCTGTTGAAATATTACCTGTGTTGCTTTAGTTTTGTTTGTGGGTTTGTTATTTATCAAGAAAACAGGTTTAGTGAGGAACGTTACTAATTTCAATCTAATAACACCTCAGCTTAAAAAGTAACTATCTAAGACTTCAGATTTATTCACTTCTCTCAAAGTACCCACAATTAATTTATTAACAAATTTTGTCAATTGAGAATGTATACAATAATTATATAATACCATCTTCAGGGATACCTACGATTGAAGTTATTTTCCGATAATATAAAGGAAAATTATCAACATAATAGCCCAATCAAATTGAAGAAAAACTTGTTAGAGTTGTAAATGATGAGATGAGTCAACAAACATTTCCTTTTCAAATTGCGCGTCAAAGAACTTCTTATATATGTTTGAGCAGAAAATAATACTATGACTTCTACTCAATTCAATCAATGTTTTGAATTTTGTTATTTAAAAGTACATAGAGATATACTAAGTGAATTATTAGACCACTATGCTACATGATAGTTAGCTATATTAGACCGAGTAAGCTTAAACTTTATTTGAAAAAAATCAATGCTTTTACTGTGATATATGGTTTAGTATGAATATGATTTGATTCAACAGGTAAACGAAGGTGCTTCGTACTTTATATGTTATAATGTTATAATTGAATTTAATGTTAAGGGAGCTAAGACAATTTGGGTGCTTAAAAAACAAACAGTATGGTGTATTTATAAGTGTCAACAAATAAAATTACTACAAGACTGGAATGACCATGATCCCCTATGTTCTTGAGACAACACAACATGTCAAAATCTGACGTCACAATGGTCATCAAGTGATGTATAAGTGCCGTCATGAAATGTCATATCGTTGCCTAGTTATATTGATATGTTTTTAATAAAATTGCAAAATGAACAAGACCATTCCATTCACCACTGAGATAGAATATGACAGCAGCATTCCCTGATTCAACGCCAGTTAGATTCACATTCCAATTGTGTGAGAACAGTCTCTATCTCGTTGAAAGTTGAAATAATGAAAATATTCGGAGTATTGTCCCAGTTATTCATATTTTATATTTGTATCTAGAATATAATATCCTCAGCATCCAATGCACATTGCTAAAGGACAAAATACATATATCACTGTTTTGTTCCCTAACACGACATTCACGAACAGAGATCCTCATGCCTGGCCCTAAAATTATATGAATATTATTATGTCCAAATCAAATGAAATACTAAATGTTGATCACATCTTATTTTTAAGATAGCGTTATTTTTTATTGAAACTAAAAAATACTCGAAATTCTTATATCAGATAGCACAAAAATATTCATAGAATATGCCTATATAGTATATTTATTATTATTATTATTATTCATTTATTGTTCACACAAAACATAAAGTTTTATAAACAAGAAATTTGGTAGAATTACAGTAGTTACTAATTGAATATAAATATTAATATTAAATCAAAATTAAATCTAAACCTGAGTATAAGAGGATATACCATAAATAGTACAAATACATTATAGTGAACAAGAGTTGACACTAATATGTTCCATATTATGTACCAAAATGATGAAAGTTACATGTAAGTGAGGCTGAAAAAAAGAAAAAAAAAGGAAGCATGGTGTGAAACGAATGAAAAAGAAAAAAAAACTAGTTGATATGAAGTGAGTCCTAACCCCGAAATTTAGAGAATATACATTACATAGCTACACATAGATTTATGTTAATGACCAAGTTGACACAAATTTTCCATATTATATGTACAAAAAAATAATGAAACATTACATGGAAGTGTTGCTACAATACGAAGCATGGGATAAAAAAACTATACAGCAGATATAAAATAATACAGACCACAATACAGGGGGAATATATGCAGACTATTCGTTTATTATGAAAGATCTCAGTTTCAAAATATTGCAGATATGTGAAGTGATTGATTTTGCTGCAGAGGGAGTAATATTATTGAGCATGTCGATCAATTGATTCACATTTTCCAAGCAAGGAGTATTTCGAGGTCGCATTGAAGTATAAATAGGACAGTCAAATAAGAGGTGATTAATCGTTTCAAGCTCATATTTGTTACATACTGAACATATTTCTTTTGGGTTTATACGGTAGGTTGAGCCACGGTAGGTGAATCTTATCATGAACTTATTACATAGTCTGAGCTGCGCAATAGTTCTAGTGACTTGAATCGGCACCTTCATGTGCAAATAGTTCTGGGTGTCCTGAGTAAGTGTGAGAGACTGGGTGAATGTTAGGAAGGTTGAACGAGAGAACAAGGACCTGTCTTCCTCTTTCAATTTCTGCATATACCTTGAGAGTAAGATCGACTTCTTCTGTATGAGATACCTAGATGTAAGCTGTGATAGTGGCAAGTTAAAGTCAGCATATTCAAGCTCTTTAGAAACTTGAATCGACCAATTGTATCTTTGATCTACGGAGCGGAGTTCTAGCTGTTTTTTGAAACAAATTTTTGGTAGGCGACTTTCATCCATTGCAAGGATTTTGATTAACCAGTTCAAAGTAAGTTTGAAAATGGTATATGAGATCTTGACTCTACCTACCTCAAGTCTAACAACATAATCTGGAGTATTCACAGGCAAACATAGCATTCTTTTCAAAAAGTTTAGTTGTACGCGTTCTAGAGTATCGACATAGCGCCAGCCCCAAACCGGTATACAATTGGTCAACACACTCAGAACAAGTGAATCCAACAGTTTTTCTCTGGAGCGCCAGCAATTCATTTTTGTTTTGGCCATGATAGGAAAAACAGCGCCCACAGCTTGCTTGCCTTTATCCGCAGATGTGGTTGCCATATTTTGAAAGAGGGATGAAGATGAAAATTCCACTCCTAGGTAGATGAATTTTCTTGTGACTTCCACATGGTTGCTTTTATAATTGAACCTGAGATTCTCAGAGTGAGGGTTGCCCCTAGCAAAACACATAATTTTAGTTTTGAGCACGTTAACAGTAAGCAGGTTAATGTCACTGTAGTCTTCCAGGATTTTGAGTTTGCGGCTAAGATCTATTTCCGAGTCCGCCAAAATCACTATATCATCTGCATAAAGAAGCATCAGAAGATCATTTTGGTTATCTATATTTATCCCAGAAGCTCCATTAGAACGGAAGAAATTTTCCATATCGGACAAAAACAAGGCAAAAAGCAATGGGCTCAGTGGTTCACCTTGAAGTACCCCCGTTGTGACATCGAATGGCTTCGTGAAACCTTCTGAGGATTTAACATTCATTCGAGCCTTATCATATATGTTTTTTAACAATGATATAATTTTAGAACTCAACCCCACCGAGAACAGTTTCGACCACAATAGAGAATGGTTCACAGAATCGAACGCACGTTTATAATCTACGAACACTGCAAATACCTTCCGTTTTTTTAATCGCAAATTTAAATGAATGACAGCACTGAGAGTATAAACGTTATCTAGGGAACCTCTGCCTTTTCGAAATCCGTTTTGATTTTCAGGTAAAATTGCA